AGGATCCGGTGCGAGATGTCATCGACAAGGTAAAGGTCCGTATCTTCATCGTAAATGAGGCCAAAAGCGTCCTCGAAAATCTTGCATACTGCAACAGGAAGCCAGATCTCAGCGATAGTGGAGTCGATATTCATGTTAACGTTGGTTCCATTGAGAAGATCTATGTCGGAAGCTGATGTTGTTCGCGCAATCAGACCAACCAGATCAACCATAAGATTACCATCGGTATTTGTCGTAAAAGTCATGTCGTTCGATACGAAGCAGGAGGCATCGTATCCGCCAAGGGTCAGGCTACCAAGAGAGGTCGCCTCGGTGTGACGATAGTTTGCACCTGCGGTGTAGCCAAACGACTGGCTTGGGATGCCCTGCGCCTCGAACAATGCAGTGATGTAGCTTGGATGAGAAGGCTCTTGGAAGAACGTCTTCGCTTGTGACTGCAGGCCTATATAACCAAGCCAGAATTCAGGAGTAGCCAGTGTGGTATACGTGCCGATCGTACCAATAAATGTGCCGTTCACTGTAGGACCTTCTCCGTTCCCAGGTAATCCAAGGCTAACAGTTTCCAAGCCATAGAGTCCTATCATGCGATCGTCTAGGGCTAAGGGATTCTGTAATGGAAAGTAGCCGGTCTTTTCGAAGGTGGTTGATTCAGAAGTGTTGAACAGATAGCCACGGCTGCTCTCGCATTGCTGTTTAGGCATCGTTGAAACAACGTGGGTCAGATTCGCCATCGCGATACTTGAGCAGGCCTGGGCATTGACAACCCACACCTGCTGGTTTCTCGTCGATACAAGTACGCTTGTGTTCCTTTGTTGTGATCCCACTCGAAGCCTGAAAGTATTCCAGGCGCCATCAATGCCTGCCCAGCCCTGTTCATCTGGTAACGCCACAATCGGCTCTGGAATGCGCGAAATGCCTGCGAGCAACGTGTACCCCGGCGTGTCGGTAATGGTCTTTGGGACGTATTCGGCGGCGCATGAGGCAATAAATATCGAAGTCACGAGGAGAAGGATTGTGGCGGGAAAGGGGTGCCAGCCCAGACGAAAAGACATCGCCTATCAACTCTGCTTGGCGTAAAATGAATGTGGAAGTTTCTGTTTTGAAAGGAGGGAATGATGGAGTTCAGCCCTGCATCGCACGCCTAAGTTGCCGCAGATCGCCGCGCCTGCGCCTGCGGCTCGGAAAATTGTGCGCCCGACCTGACATACCGTGCCCATGCACCCAATGCACGGATTCAACCAATGCACACCTTAACGCTTTGACGGCCACCACAAAAATGAGGCTGTAAAGCTACATACAACAACGTGTCGGATAAGCGAGTGAGCCACCCCACCAACTTTGCGCACTCTACAACCTCAAATCGCCTATGGCTCCACCAAACCTCAAATCGCCTATGGCTCCACCAAACCTATCTCAACACGCCTCTTGTGAGGCTAATATAAACCTTGCAATCTTAGCTCTTAATGCAGATCAGATTAGACTGAGAGACGCGCTGCAGCGACGTTTGAAGCCTCTCGCGCTACCCTCTACCGCCGACGCGCTGGCAGACCTTCCCGACACGATTGCCAGCCCAACTCAAAGAAGCTCACCCAGCTAGAAGAGGAGATAATAGTTCAGCATATACTTAGCCTAGATGAACGCGAATTTGCGCCTACGTACGCAGCTGTTCGTGATATGGCTGATAAGCTGCTAGCCGCGCGCGGCGCTGGCCAGGTTGGGCAGAAGTGGCCAGCCAACTTCGTTCGGCGTACAGACAGACTCACGACGCGTTTTAATCGAGCGTACGATAGGCAGAGAGCTCTGTGTGAGGATTCTGTGTTAATTAGGAGCTGGTTTAAGCTCGTAGAGCAGACAAAGGCTAAGTACGGCATCTGCGATGAGGACGTCTATAACTTCGACGAGGCAGGCTTTGTGATGGGCAAGATTAAGACCCAGCTCGTCGTGACAGGATCAGAGAGGAGAGGCAGGCCAAAGGCTATCCAGCCAGGCAATCGTGAGTGGGTGACGTTGATCGCTGCGATCAACGCAGCTGGCTGGTCAGTCCCACCGTTCCTCATCCTTGCCGGCTAGTATCATCTACCTGCCTGGTACGAGGAAGTAGAGATCCCACGCGACTGGGCGATAGCAGTTAGCGACAATGGCTGGACAAACAATGAGCTTGGAGTTAAGTGGCTAAAGCACTTTGACGCTTACACGAAGGCTCGTGTTGTAGGTGCACGTCGCCTACTTATCCTTGACGGCCACGAGAGCCACCATTCACTCGAGTTTCAAGAGCTCTGCAAGGAGAACAATATCTATACGCTCTGTATGCCACCTCACTCATCTCATCTTCTCCAGCCTCTTGACGTTGGCTGCTTCTCGCCATTAAAGCGCACGTACAGTCGTGAGGTAGAGAGCCTAATCCGCCACCACATCAACCACACCACTAAGCTCGAGTTTCTGCCAGCCTTTAAGGCAGCCTTTGATCGATCGTTCACGTCAGCCAATATCTGCTCAGCATTTCGAGGCGCAGGCCTTGTTCCTCTTCAGCCAGACGCTGTCCTATCAAAGCTAGACGTGCAGCTGCGTACGCCTACTCCAGCTGCTCTCGCAGAGGCTCTCTGGGAGGCTCGTACGCCAAGCAACGTACGTGAGCTTGAGGCTCAATCAACGTTAATACGTGATCGAGTGTGGCGGCATAAGAGCTCATCACCTGCCTCGATCATCGAAGCGATTAACCAGCTCAAGAAGGGCGCTGAGGTTATGATGCTCTCAGCTGAGCTAATGCGCGATCGGATCACCAGCCTTGAGGGAACCAACGAGGCAGCGTCAAAGCGTAGGCAGCGCAAAAAGAAGCGGATACAGAAGCGCGGCACCTTAACAAAGGGAGAGGGAGAGGATATACTCGCTCAGCGAGAGGCTGACCAGCAGATTGCTCGTGAAGAGCGTCAAGAAGGAGAGCGATCAGGCCTCAGCTGCCGGGCTCCAGCGCGCTGCAGTAGGTGCAAAGAGACTGGGCACAACACACGTACATACAGAAAGGAAGCAGAAAATACTGCTTAGTCTACTCTATAAATATCTATCTATTATATTAACGTGGTTCATAAGCGAGCGGCCACCCCAAGCGAGTGGCCACCCCAACACCATCGCAGCGCACGCGCAGCAATATCGTCTCATGTCTCAACAACGCAACGTACAACCAGCTTATACTGAAGGAGACATAATCCTAGCTGTCTCTAGTATTGAATCAAACCAGAACCTAAGTGTAAAGCGTGCTGCAGCAATCTACAACGTCCCCCGAACGACCGTACGCCGCCGACGCGCTGGACAACGCTCTCGACGCGAATGCGAGCCGAACTCGAAGCGCCTTACAAAGCTTGAAGAGGAGGTGATTGTGCAGCGCATACTAGATGAATCTCTACGAGGTGTACCACCCTTAAAGGCACACGTACGAGATATGGCTGATAGACTGCTGAGAGAGCGTGGTGGGAAGCCTACGGGCAAGAACTGGATTGATAACTTTATTAAGCGTACACCTGAGCTGCGCACGCGATGGAGCCGTCCGTACGATCGCCAGCGAGCTGTCTGCGAGGATCCAGCGGTTATCAGGCCCTGGTTCACGCTCGTTCAGTCGATGAAGGCGAAGTATAGTATTGTAGATGAGGATACCTGGAACTTTGACGAGTCTGGCTTTATAATGGGCAAGATATCCTCTCAGCTGGTTGGCACAGGTTCAGAGAAACCTGGGAAACAGAAGAAACTACAGCCTGGCGATCGCGAGTGGATTACTCTAGTACAAGGCGTCTCTGCGACAGGGCGCGTTATCCCGCCCTTCCTCATCTTTGCAGGGAAGGTCCTTATCACCTCCTGGTTCGCAGATCTACCTCGCGATTAGATTATCGCTGTCTCTCCTACTGGCTGGATCAACAACGACCTCGCGCTCGCGTGGCTTAAGCACTTCGATGCTCATACGAAGGCGTCCTCTACTGGGGCATATAGGCTGCTTATCATTGACGGCCATGACAGCCACTGCTCAACAGAATTCCAGGACTACTGCAAGGAGAACAAGATTATCGCTCTCTGCATGCCATCTCACTCATCGCACCTTCTGCAGCCTCTGGACGTCGTCCCCCACTCGCTGTTGAAGCGCCACTATGGCGATAGGATCTCGCTCTTGGCACGCAGCCGCATCCACCATGTTAACAAGGAAACCTTCCTACCAGCCTTTAAAGAAGCTTATAAGAAGACCTTCACACCAGAGAACGTTCGCGCAGGCTTTCGAGGTGCTGGGCTAGTCCCATACGACCCAGAGGTTGTGTTATCAAAGCTAGATGTGCAGCTGCGTACGCCGACGCCACCTGCACCAGGCACAGTCGCCTGGGAGGCGCAAACACCGCGCAACGCCCGCGAGATAGAGGCGCAATCTATGCTAATTCAAAATCGCATGCAAAACTACCGAGGGTCACCAGCAAGCTCACTAAATGAGCAGGTTAAGCAGCTAAGTAAAGGCGCGCAGCAGATCGCTCATAATATGGTGTTAGTGCAGGAGGAAATGGGCCGCCTTCGAGACGCTGTTGATACGCTTACAAAGCGCAAGACTCGCAAAAGGCGGTACGTACGCGCAGAGGAGACTCTAACAGATGGTGAGGTATCTGACTTAATTGCTGCAAAGGAGGGTAGTAGTCGTGAGGAGGGCGAGACGCCTGCGAAGAGGGTGCGCGCAGAGAGGCGCTGCGGCCGTTGCAGCGAGATTGGACACAACTCCCGCACCTGTAAGGTAGAAATATTAGATGTAGATAATAGCGACGCTTCTAAATAATGCTACATTATTGTGTATAGTATAATAATTTGTTGTAGTGTTGTACTGCGTCGCTACGCGTGCGCTGCGCTGGTGTTTCGTGGGGCGCTCGCTTGGGTGGGGCGCTCGCTTGTGAACCACGTTACACTCTCTCCTAGTTATTCTATGCACAATACCCGCACCCGACCGTGCGACAGGGATGTTTTGGTAATCGCGTGCACGATTACTGTACAGTCTTCGCCGGACGCCTCATCATGTAGTACACCTGCTTACGTCGATGCGCAAACTTCTCAGACACGGGTACCTCGTAAAATGGACCATCGAATCCTTCTGACTGATAGAGTCTGCGACCTCGCTCAGACCCCTCGACCACGGCCTATGTAGTTGAGTCAGTCACCGGAAGTCTCTCCGCAGCGAACCAGGAGACTCACCTCCACGCCCAATCTATCCGCATGCGCAGTGCCCCACTTAACCAGCATTCTCCCTGCGCCCTGGCCATGGCAGGTCGGGTCCACCATGAGCATCTCGAGCGCTATTATGCGTTAATTAGCAAGTCAAAGGGCGGAGAACACCGCGTTGAAACGCCAAGATCACAACATACCGACTAAGCGACCGTTGTTCTCCTCGAGGATCTTCTGTCTTGGCGCGAAGAAAGCGTGGAAGATTGCCTTCGCAAATTCCTCTTCCTCCTCGTTGGGCCAGTATGGACCACCCAGCTGTGGCTGCGGAGGTACCTCTCCAGCCTTGTAGATGTTCCACTTCGCTGCGCCGATCATCTTGCCGGTGTCCTTGTCAACGCACTTGAGGAAGTGACCATTGGGGTCATGGCGATAGATGTTGAGCATCTGCTCAACGCCCATTTTACGTCCCTCAGGCGTCTCATGCTTGTGGAACACAGCTTCGACATATTCGTGGTCGTGAGCGAAGGCGTTGGAGATGATCTCGAAGAAGCGAGGGATGTCCTCTTCGGTGCAGGGTTGGACTTCGAAGTTCGGCATGTTTGCGCTTGGGCATAAGAATTGGACAGATGAGCAAGATCACAGAAACGTTGAGAAGCAAAAACGGTTCCAAGCGTGGTAAAAAGGCGAAGAGCGCGGTTAAAGACGGGGTAACTCTGCCTTTTCTCGTGCTGTTTTGGAATGTAACGAAGCTGATCGCAATTCAATGCAGGATTCTTTGGGGCATCTTTTCTTCATGTATAGAGGTACATGCTCGCGAAGTATCGATCCTCAGAATAGCGGTGAATCATTTGTGGCGGGGACAAGCTGCATGAGAATCTGCTAAGCGATGCTGAACGAATCGCGTCAAACATGGGATTCCGTAATGGGATGAGAACGTTTCAACCCCATGTTAATGATCACAGGAAATTCCCTTGAGCGGGATTACCGTGTCCGTGCGCGTAGTGCGCTTGTCGCGTAATGCGCATCAGAAGCCTCATACAGGCCACCCAAAAATGAAGCTGTAGAGCCACACACAATCGCTATCGCGACTAGATATCATGGTGGAGTACCCTATAGACCTATGCGACAAACGTTTGCTATACATATCTTGCTGGAAGAGTGATCTTCCGGCCGCGAGTGTTGTGTTTAGGTGGAGGAGCTGGAGGCTCCTCATGTGCTGCACCACCACTTTGCACATCTACAGTACTACGTTTCTGCTTCTTTCTTAGTGCTGCAGCTTGTGAGGCTGTTCACTTGCTTTTTTGGGACAATTGTAGAGCTTTTTCGCGGTCTCTCTCCTCTTGGAGACGCTATCGCTCTGCCTTGCATGCGTCAATCTGACGGCGCTCTTCTGCCTTCCTTTTATCCCTCTCCTTCTTCTCTCTCTCTCGCTTCTCCGCCTTCTCAGCGTTAAGCTTCTGCTTAAGCTTGCGAGTAGATTCACGAAGCTCAGCTGCGTCAGCTTTTCTGATCTCCTCTGCCTTCTCTGCCTCGTCTGCTTCATCCTGAAGTTGCTGAGCTTTGTTGACGCGTGAAGGAGACCACCACTGAGTGTCTGCCTCCCAATCCTGCCTCTGAATAACTGGCAAAGCCCTGCTCTTCTTATTGCCCTTCTTTTGCTGTCTTAGAGCTTGCTCCAAGCCCTTGTTTTCCATTGTAAGTAGCTGATCCTGGATGTGGAGGTGGTGAAGGGTATCCCTTACCCGCACTGAGTCCTCTGCATACTTATCCTTGACAGCACGCTGCAGACACCTGTCAGCAAGCCGCCAATCGGGGCCCTCATATAGCAGAGGAGGTGGAGTAACTGCTGGAGGCTCAGGTGCCTTAGGAGCAAACTTGCTGAGTATAACGTTGGATTCCCATGGGCTCAACCCAGTTGTTTTAAAGGCGCTGAGTATGAGCTTTTCTGTGAAGGTCTTCACCCAGGCAGCCCAGAATAGACGGAAGAAGTCGCCCTTCTTCATAGGGACTAGGCCTTGGCTGTTGTGAAGGTGATCTGTGAGCTCATCGCTGTAGTTTTGAGCCAGAGGCTTGAAGCAAACTACGTCCAGCGGCTGAAGCGTATGGGTACTGTGAGGAAGGTACACAGCTAGCAGTATCTTGTTGCGATCGCAGAAGGAAACGAAAGCCATGTTTAGGTGACTCCCATGGCCATCTACTATCAGTAGACGGTACTTTCTTCTTGCTTTCCTCTGTAAGGGTGCGATGGGTTGACCATAAGTGCAAGGTATAACAGTAATGAATTCGATAGAGAAGCTACACTACGCTTGTGCTGGGTCTATGTATCACGTAATGCTAGGTTCGAGAAACTTCTAAGGGTCCGTGGAGCGCCGATGAAGCCCCGACAACGCTCCGAGGGTTGCAGCCTATCCCAACCAGCTATAACGAAGGCCACAGGCCAAGTACTACTAACCAAGGCTTCAGCCTCTTACATCCTCTTGGTGAAGCGATTGAACACCTGCTCAAGCCAGCCAAGCCCTGCGTCATCGTTCAACCAGCCAGAAGAAGAAACAGCAGTGAATACTGAGTGTTCTTCCTTATTCAAATCGACCAACCAGCTTGATTGGACGTTCTGGGTCTCAGCCGCATATATGAGGCTTGGCGGAAGGACTGTACCATCGGCGCAGATGCAAGAAAGGAGTGTGATCCACTCACGATTGCCATCTTGGAGTGACTGCCGAGTGTGCTTTTGCTTGTACAAGGCCTTGTCGAAGATCCTCTTGGGCCCGCCAATCTTCCCGATCGCGAAGCCCTTCTCATCCATATTGTATGTGTGCCGAGTCTCAATGCGATATTGCTTCATCTTCTGGTCTATGAGCCTAAAGTATTGCTCATACTTTCGCCAAGAATCAGCTTTGTGACGCTCTTTATCCATACCAGTTGCCCATAGTGAGGCAAGCCTTTCGGGGTGACGATTGAGGAAGCGCGTAACCCAGCTATCAGAGACCTCAACACTAGCTATCTCCTGCGCGAAATTCCTGATCATTGTTCTTGTAGGTGGCAGATGACGTACAGTAAGGCCTTCTATATAAGTAACAAGCTCATCTTCTTGTTGTGGGGTGAGCTTCTGTTGTGCGATTGCCTTGTCTTCACGCGACACAGTTTCCCCCTCTGCCCGCCGTGTCAAAGTTGATCGCCACACGCCATGTTTTTCTGCAAGATGCTCATCAGGGATCTCTTGTCCTAGTTTAGCTGCACGTCTCTCTGCAAGAGCTTCATCCAAAGCCATTGTGGTGTCGAGAAAAAGTACTGTAAAGATGAGATGGTTGGGTGGCTCAGATGCACGTTACGCGAAAAGCGCACTACGCGCACGGACACGGTACCGAGGACATATCGGGTCGGTTGGAATCCTACCCCTCTGGTTCGGTATACACGCAAGTCAAAATCTCAAGATGCAGAGGGAGATCGACACTCGCCTCATTTCAAAAGTTTATGTACTTGCAGCACTCTCAGGCATCAGGCAGACATAAAGTAAGATGTACGAGGTACGAGGAGATGTTGGATAGGGTCAAGATGGAAAAAGCAAGAAGTACACACGTGCTAAGCTGGAGCTACAAGAGTAAGCACGTGCTGCAGTAGCCAGTGAATGTTGGTGCCGAGAGTTGAGGAGTGGGTCAGGAGCATGCATATGTGTCACGCATTGCCCGAAATGGATAGTCGCACGGGTTGACACCCGTGGCCCCCACAACTGCACAAATCCTACAGCGAATTTGAAAATAACCCGACACGATGCATTCTCATCTCCATCCTGTCCATCGGACCAAGGAATTAGACCTGGATTCGAACCCCTTGGCCACTCGGGAAATACCGTTGGACGACCGTTGAACCAGCAAGCCGGTATTTCCGTGACTGTGCGCGAAACGACTCGGAATTGAACCCGCGCCCAGTCGCCCTGCAGGAACAGACATGGATTTCGGTCCTCCCAAAAAAGCAAAACGGCAAAGCCTGATGTTTGCAGCGCCAAGCTCTCATGCAACCGGGAATACTGACCCGCCTCCGCAGCAGGCGGCATGACAGTCAGCAGTGCCAACATGTGCCCCCTGGGATATCACAGGAAGTTGGAACGCTACAAGGTGCTGAAATGAGGACCTGAACATGCTGATCGTTAGGTGATATGAAGAGAGGCTTAACGCCCTCAAATACGAACTCTTTTGTCTTCACACCTACGTCTGTGGCTGTGACTGTTCGTTAAGACACAGCCTTCGCTCTTTTAAGCGTTACCTTCGTTTGATTTTAGCGTTTTTCTACTTCGAGAGGTCCCATCATGGTGGTGAACTTCTTCCACGAGGCGTGGTCCTACGTCGGGGTTTGCGGATTCATCGTCATACTGCGATTCGTATGCAAGATCCAGCAAGGCGGATGGCGAAAGCTGGCTGTGGATGACTTGCTGATGGTCCTCGCGATGGTGAGTGTGCTTCTTCCGCAGTGGCGCGAGTGGAAATTAACAGTGTACGAACAGTGCTTCTACGCAGCCGAGACCTCAGCAGCGCACATGATCGTGACCTGGATGGGCATGGCCAACAACAACATGAGGCCTGAGTACCGCGCAGCATTAGATCCGCATTCGGAGGAGTGGGCGATACGAGTCAAGGGCTCCAAGATGAACATTGTGGGATGGTTCACCTACTTGACCCTCTTCTGGCTGTTGAAGTCGTGCTGGACTATCTACTATTCGAGGATGACGGATGGTCTCTACCGGATGGATGCCCGAATCAAGATCGCATGGACTGTCCTTGCGACTACATTTCTGGCCTGCGTGTGCGTTATTGTTTTCCAATGCCGTCCTTTCAACAAGAACTGGCAGATCAACCCGAATCCTGGTAGTAAGTTCTCGAAGTGCCTGTGAAGCCAAATATTCAGGCACAGTTTGCTAATGTTTCAATTTCCCAGACCAATGCCAGCCTGCATACTCTTTCCTTCAGGTTTCCTTTCTCATGGCCTGCAACACAGTAACAGATTTGTATCTCATGTCGATCCCAATTCCGGTATGTCTAGTACCCCGCTCGACCCTTACCACTGCTAGCTTACACTGCGCTACAGATCATTTGGAAAGCGCGCCTCGCTACGAAGACTAAAATCTCGCTCCTCGTCCTCTTCAGTCTCTCCTGGGTCGTAGTCATCTTTGGTATCGTCCGATGCGTCACCCTCGTCACAACTGGCGAATACGAAAAGTCTCAGTCCGGTCCCTGGTCTGTCCGCGAATCCTTCCTCGCCATAATCGTTACCAACGCGCCCGTCGTTGTCCCGCTTCTTAAGCGCTGGTTCGACAAAGTGACCGGCATAGCCTCTACGCGCATCAAGTCGTCCAAAGGCGGCTCGTACCAGCTCGATTCGCAGGACCGAAGCAACAAGCCCAGCTCAAATCTGGCCAGCCGTGAGGAGAAGAAAAAGAAGAAGTTTCAACACCCGCTGTCGCTGCCGATGACGACGAAGTGGGGAAGTGATGAAGAGATCACAGTGGATCAGCAGATGATGGGTACGGGTGGAAGGGCGGTGGATCAGCACAGGGATGCGAAGAGCGACGTGTCAGTTGAGGCCGTGGAGATGAATGATATGAGGCGGCCAGAGCGGTACAGTAAAGTCACAGGGCAGGCGAGGCCTGGTGGACCGAATGACTACTCGCGGGACATTGTCGTGACACAGGGGTGGGAGGTCAACTCCAAGTACTAGGGAGAGGACTCGTGGGAAGAATGGACATACACACCAAAGAGAGGCGTTCACGAAAAGGTATAGTTTTATTAATAGACTCCAGAAGGTCAGCTGGTAATTTTCCAGTGTTCCGACATGGAAGGGCCTCTCCCTACTCCATCCACGCCTCCTCCCACTCCAGCCACTCCGTCGACTCCGACGGAGCGGCGTAGTTAATAACGTGTTTTATCAGTCAGTGGGCCACCCCACCAAAATCGACGCGACTTTTTGTACGATAGCTCAACAACGCGATAGTCAAATACACTCAGAGTTGCTATCAGTCAATCAGTCAGTTGTCAGTTCATCTATGCGGCTCAAACTGTCAGTCCGGGAGTAGTAAACTGACCTGACTGACTGCCAAGACATTTTTGGAGTCGTGAACTGAAACTGAACTGAACGCCAAGACCGCTATCTTCGTGTTGCACTGACTGGTTGATTGCTATCTGATTGCTATAGTCAATAGTCGTATTTACTAAGATAATCTTGTACTGCGGCGATCTCAGCTATTGTATGCCCTCCTGCTGGTGTTTTAAGACCTAACTGTCGCCAGCTCTTAAGCACTGCAGCGCGTTAAGCAACTCAGGCTTTATTTGCAGCCGCCGCGTGCCTAGCATGTCACCAAGCTCGCTGAACGTACGCTCACAATCAGCAGCTGAGGCTGGTATTGTAAGCACGTTGATAGCAAACTTAGCAAGCGTTGGGTACTGCTGCGTCTGTAATTGCCAGTACTTAGGCGGATTGAGAGCCATCGGATCGTCCTCTGCGATCGCTGGTACGCGTTTCCACCGCTCGTACTCATCGCCAAGATGCTCCTCTACCTGCTTAACAGCAGCGTCTAATTGCAACTTTAGAAAGGCAGATCGCGACGCTGTTGGACCAACAACACGCACTCTCTTTGCCGGGCGCCTCTCATCGCTGTCGCTTGTCACGCTGCCAACCACTGTTGCTTCTTGAAAGCCCTTCCACATCGCTATAAAAGCGCGATGATTGTTTGTAAGCCACCCATCGCGGTAGTGAGGGCCGTCGCGCTGCGTGTTGTGATCATCAGGCACTTTCCATAGTGCCTCGAGATGGTGCTTATAGTGTGGGTGGAACACTGTAGCAGCGTAGTAGACAGGCGCGTCGTCAAACTTTGAGTAGTACTGCGATAGTTTCTTGTGAGCTAAGTTAACGTTAAGCATAAGGTGATCTTCTGGCGCTAACGGATCATTATAATCAATATCCTTTAAGCGCTCTTTAAGCGCTTCGAGCTCGTTAAGTAGCCACTTAAAGGTAATCAGAACTTCCCATATTGCGCCGTGGCGGCCGTGTTTACCGTGTCCCTCTAGCAGCGTAGAGGCCTCTGCGAAGGGCGCTAGAAGCTTCATATACTCGGTGATTGTTGCCTAGTCGCTAGCGTTTAGGCCACCCTCGCGCAGAAAAAGCCTAGGTTCCTGGAACACGCTATCGCTACCTCTAGGTCGCCGTGAGCGGCGAGCAATAACCTCGTTGTGGCGGCCCTCAGAAAGCTTATGCTCAACGTAGTTATCAAGCGGGCCTTAGAGCTTAACAGCGCGTGCAAAGGCAGCAAAGTAGGAGTTCCAGCGCGTCTTAACTGGCCTGATTAGCTCTCGGAGGACAACAGGCTTACCTAGCGACTCAGCTTCAACTCTTTGGAGTTTCTGTAACAGCTCGCGCGACTAGGGCGTACAGATGGACGCGATAATATCAAATAGTACACTAATAGGCCCATATTGACGCCACTCTTTCATGAAAACCTCCTCGTCTTTAAGGCTGCTACTAGCGTTCTCGTATGCGTCGCGGTCTTTGCCCCATATGATAAGTTGAGCTCCAAGGTTGAGTATATGGCAGCAGCAGCGTAGACGCCGCTCAGAGGCGTCAAAGCCGTATATACCAGCCAGATGATGGACGGCAGTATCATTGTTGTATGCGTTGTCAAGCACAAAAAAGCCCACTAACGCCTTGTCCACCCTAAAGTTTGTTAGCGTTGTTGCAACCACAGCGCCAATATTATTACCACTGTGCTGCCCATGAAGCTCTGGCAAGCCCAGAACAAAGTCCTGCACATCGCCCGCTGCGTCCATCAGATGTACGCAAATGCCCGTGAGTCCATGCTTGCCGCTGGTCGACGTCCAGTTATCGAAGGAGACATGAATAAGGGACCGCGCGCCGCTTAGATAGCTTCCAACAGCAGGTATGTACGAGTGATACTCGGCAACAATCGCGTCGCGGAGAGACTGGTGGTTACGCCAAAGTACTGCCTCTGCTAACGGATTAGCAGCTCGAATTAACTGACGAAAGGTAGGCGTTTCAATAACGCGGAGGCTTCGGTTATCGGCAGCTATCCAGTCCTTTAGCGCGTCTTGAAACTTGCGCTTTGTAAATGACGATGATATCTCATTCGCAACCTCCTGCGACACCTCAACACCACTATCGCGCATGAGGCTGACGATTGAGCCCTGGTTAGGATCGCGGCTTCGTCGGAGAGGTCCTTGGGCACCAAGGCTGTGGCCGGGCACGCCTTTAGCTAGGTGAGTAGCTGCTGCTGACGTTGATCCAGCGTCGTACTCGCCCCAAGTTTCTTTTGTATGTGGCAATAGAAACAGAGCCAGTAGTTACGATGTTTGATACGATGATATACTGGCCAGCCGTACTTGTATATCCAACTTGGGGCACCTCTAGCGTGCTCTTTCTGTCGCCTCTCCAGGTACGGGACCCGTGACCAGTCTAAGCCGTCAAAAGAAGTATCATCAGCCTCATCTATGGCCTCGCTGATTGGCGCGTCAATCGATTGGTTAATGCGATCAAGCTCGGTGTTGTTGTCAACAGATGGCGTGACCGACGCGTTCGCAGGTGGATCTCCGTGTTTATCGCGCTCAACAAGTCGGCGGAGGCTCTGATTCGATTGCTGGGTCATATCAGCACCAAGAGAAACTGGTATAACCCGTAAGTAGGCGCGTCGATAGATGGTAGCGTTGGCGTAGAGTTAGGGTTTAGAGCGTTGCGCGATTGGGCTGCAACACTAAGGTTTGGCGCTAGCCGCTTACAGAAACTATATCAACAGCCTCACTAACAGCCTCACTAACAGCCTCATCAACAGCCTAGAATAAGCCTCCGCAACACTATGTATCAATCTCATATCAGTCAATCCAGTCAGTTTAAGAGTTCTGAACTGAACTGACTGATAAGACGAGAGCTCCAAACTGACACTGAACTGACTGCCAAGCAATCAGTCAGTCAGTCAGTCTCATCAGTTTGGATTGATTGTTAGCAACTCTGGTTGCAAAGTTGGTAGGGTGGCCAAAACTCGAACATGGCCAAAATGCGCACGGACACGGTAGTACTGCGACGACTACAACACCAAAAACCTATCGTGAGATCGCTTCTGCTGCAAAACGAGCAGCCTTACGCGCTACCTCAATCAAGCCCATCAAGCTGAACAATCAAGCTGACCCTCCTCAGCTTGGATTGCTAAGAACTTAGTATAGGCGAGCTTGACTTGATGGGATTGATAGTCATCAAGCTATCAATCAAGCGCTTGCAAGCCGCTTGATTGTTGACAAGTCTGCGCCGCAGTACAAGCTCATCTCAGTAAGTACGACTGTCAACTATAGCAATCAGATAGCAATCAATCAGTCAGTGCAACACCAAAATAGCGGTCTTGGCAGTCAGTTCAGTTTCAGTTCACGACTCCAAAAATGTCTTGGCAATCAATCAGGTCAGTTCACTACTCCCAAACCGACAGTTTAAGCCGCATAGATGGACTGACAGCTGACTGGTTGACTGATAGCAACTCTGGTACAGCTAGTCAGCGGCAGCGACGTAAGAGAAATCAGCGACGTCAGTATATAGCCTGTGGAGGCGCTCTCTGGGCCCAGCAAGCCCAGCAGCTCGCTGCAGAAGCAGAAAGAGTGGTCGTAGAGAGTGACCAAGCTCAGACTGCTCAAGAACGTCAGCGAGCACCGCCAACGCGTACGAAGTGTCATATCCAAGGACACACGAGGACTTGATGTAGAGGTATATAGACTAGCTCTAGGCAAAATTCTATTCTATTATTCTATATCGTTGTGGAGCTATTGCGAAGATCGTCGCGTCGATTTTGGTAGGGTGGCCGGATGACTGATGTGGCCGGATGAGTGATAAAACACGTTACTTCTAGATCATTACGTTTCCCTATGTCACTGTGCTGAAGAGGGACATTCGCATATTCGGGAGGTAGAGATGCAAATGTCAGCTGAGACTGACGGTACGAAACCAAAAGGGCGGATACGTCGATGTGTGAGGTGCTTGGGAGTGAGAAAGCTAGATCATCATACCGATAAGCGTGAAACGCTCTGGCTCAGTGCACGACGTACCTGGGCACATGGTTATAATATGGTTATTTGGATAAGCAGTCGTTAGCGTACCAAAGCCCTTTTCAGCCAATTGGGCAGATATCATTAGTAACAAGATTTCCTATGATTGGTTTAAAAAGACTCTGGTACGCTGACGTCTGCTTAAGCAGTTATCCAAATAACCATATTTATAACCATGTGCGCTGGCATGGTGCACGATATATAGTAAGACCAAGAATACAATTTGGAGATGGTAGTAGTGCAGAACCATTGCATGTCACTCTTTAGTAAGACTAGATGATCTTGCAAATAGCGTAATGCATGTGTCAATGAATTTTCTTTTACCGATCCTACCAAGGTTTCTTGAACGAGCAGGCTAATTCTAGAACCGCGCCATTGACGGTGGGTGGGGACAACTTCTGGTCTGATCTTGCGGCTACTGTAACAGTTATAGCACTTTCTAGTACTGTAAAGCCGGGATTGGAGATCATCATGCACTTTCGATCTACAATAGCGCGCCAATCTCCTGCTCTATTGCCATTGTGCTCTGATGATCTTCAGCATCCCCCGCATCCAAAGCTGACGAATTAACAAGGCCTTCGTGTGGCCTGATGCATCATGGCTAGTATCCCTACCGAACTCAATTGCACAGCGTGCTAACTTCGGTACAGTGTACATCCAGTTCATCTCACGCGAACATAGAACAACAGCAATTGCCTGCTATGATGAAGTCTTTACATCAGGCGCTCTAATCAAGCAATTTCATCGCAGGGTAGGCTGAGGCTGTGCCTGACGTTAACGTGTGATTATTAGTCCAGAACCGCGGGAGCGCGCGACTGTGAGTTCGAGCAAGTATACGCCTAGACCTTTATCAGGGCCTGTGTGGCAAAAACTACCGTCTCGCTTCAATGCTGCTGCGGACGGGATATATTTTGACAGAATCATTTGCTGCATGTCGAAGTCTTCCGTGATATTCGATAGTCTTCGCAGAAATCGTGGCTGTTAGGCTTTAAATGAACTTTGCCAGGCATAACATCGCCAGTGTGTCCATCAACCAAGTAAGTTACTTGCTTGACACCAGGGCTCCAAGCAACTGTGGGCCCTTTGGACCGACCAGTTCAACCGGTTGCTTTAACGTAAGCAGATCGTCTTGGGGTGATTGGCCAGTGTCGCGCGTCGGTGCTTAAGGTTCTAACTAATTTAGTCTGGCCCACTGTAGTGCTCTAGCGCCCTGGTGTCAAGCAAGTAACTTACTTGGTTGATGGACACACTGCATGTGAATATTATAACTACGCACAAGAACAAGGTCATCTCTTCCATTTATCCTATTTCGGTGGCCTGAGTCTGCCTGAGTGCGGGGACCCGAGTCTGCAGCAAGCAGAGTTTCCAACAATCAATCGATCTACAGATTAATTACCATATTAGGTCTTCCGCCAACCTTAGAGTAATCTTCTAATGCTTAACAGAGTAATCAATCTGTAGATCGATTGATTGTTGAGAACTCCGGCAGCAAGCCCCTCAGTGTCCTCTACTTCTCTATGGTGAGCATTGCGAAGATTGTGACGTTTTCCACGATCATCTCTATCTCCACACCATTGAGCTCGCATGCTCACGACGCTTGGGCCTCTAGTATAGTGCTGAATGGCTGGAGTCCAAGTTTGTTAGGTTCGTCCAACGTGGAGAATCGAAGGCTCCAGACGTAACTGTGCAGATGATTCTCTGACAGAACTCAACATGAACGCTTTGGGAGGGAAGGCCTGAAGGCGCGATACAAGTATAAAGAGAGAAGGAGATACCACGGTATTAATATCAGCCTTCTATCAGACTCAGATAAGCACTTGCCAGTCGGCCGCTACTTTCTATCGCTCGTCATCCTTCGTTCACTGACTATTCAATCACTCTACTGTTCTTTCGCTCAACACACCCGCCCAACCGCTATCATGAGGTTCTCCCAGGCAGTAGTAATCGCTGCCGTGGCGGCCACCGTGGCTGCGAAGCCCATCGTAGCCCGCAGCGACAATGTCAAGGCATGGGACGACTACAACAAGTGCTGTGAGATTCGTGACAAATACGATCCTAAGCATGCCTGCGTCAAGCCCGATGGTCCGAAGTACAACGACTACGGGAAGAACGATGACAAGAAGAAGCGCGAGGACAACGACAAGAAGAAGCACGAGGACGATGACAAGAAGAAGCACGAGGACGATGACAAGAAGAAGCACGAGGACGATGGCAAGACGAAGCGCGAGGACGATGACAAGAAGAAGCACGAGGACGATGGCAAGAAGAAGCACGAGGACGATGGCAAGAAGAAGCACGAGGACGATGACAAGAAAAACGACTACAAAAATGACAAAAAGGACGGGCCAAAAATGGATGGCGATAAGAAATACGATGAGTAGAAGCACTACAGATTTGGTGAGGGCATCACCCTCAAGTTTGAAGGGCAAGGCCTACTAAGCGCCTCATCATGCGAGAATGTACACCTGAGCGAAGGGCAATTAGGGGAGGGACATTAATTATTTTGAAACTCGCGCCGCCTTTCGTGACTTAAGATTAATGACCTAACGGCTCTTTGTTGTCAGCTATCGGGCCTACTTAGAGGTAGCTTGCCTTATCACTGATTATGTGACAGGAGGATATATATTCGCTCACTTTGATAGTTCTTTCAATCAACCAACGTCTTCCTCATCTCCTCTCACACTTGCTTATAGTTGTACTTATACATGGGCCTTAATGCTCACAGGAGTCCCTTATTAACAATATAATACCATCTCTTCTTTAACAAATGCTCCACCTCTCTTCCGTTTACCTTTCCTCCTTTTCACTTTTGCGCTTACTCTGCAACAAGCTAGCAGCTTCGGACCCAGAAACGAAGCACTTTGAGCCGCAGCCATACCTAGGCAAATGGTGTAAATGGTTATTTGGATAACTGGTTAAGCAGCCGTTAGCGTACCAAAGCCCATTTCAGCCAATCTATAATCACTGCATCATTTCAAATCGAGCGACCTGCTCATCTGTGCTCAGTTCCGTTTGGTGCTAGGCCAATCAAGCACAACAAATGTCAGCATGCTTACGAGCGATCAAACTTACCTATCCTGATATGCTATCTTGATATCATCTCTGCTATCCTGCTATATCCGATATGATATATATCGGATATCGGATAAAGCTAGGGTCCCTTATCCTGATACCAGAATAGATATCAGGATAAGCTGCGGGGTCTGATTGGCCAGATGTTATCTCATCAATTGATAAGATCCGTTTTTTTCCGAGAAAGGGTTGCAGAGTTCGAATCGCTCTAACTTTACCACATGATTCAAGTGCGTAGATATGATGTGTCCCATTATTCCGAGCTTCTAATGTCCTTAATCATGGCTTCTTCATCACAGCAACCTGCGTATAGCGCGTCGCATTCTCAGACGAGTATTGATCCTGCTCTTGATCAGTGATCGGAATGGTCTGGTCTGGTCTGGTCTGTACCCTCAGACCAGACCAGACCAGGTGCTTACATAAGGACCGGTCCGACCAGACCGGTCCGACCAACAAGACCGCCAAGAATGAAGCTAAAGAAAAGAAGGAAGCCGAGGAAATGTATTTTACTACTAACTATCAATCCAGTCGTCTTCGTTTTCACTATCCTCGATATCGCTGTTACCCTCAGCCTGGGGCTTTCCATACCAGGCCCGGAGACACTCACACGCCTCTATAATATCTGCCTTCAGCCTACCACGGCGATCAACTATCGTAAGCTTTGCGCTACTAAAGAGACGTTCGCATTCATCCGACATAGGTGAGATCGCAAACATGTCTAGAGCGAAGCGAGCGAGATCTCTTTGGGAGTCGTAGCGAGATAGCCAGTACGCAATAGCCTCATTGCAACCTGCCTCTTCGTCATGAAGCCGGTCAGTAGAGATGTACTGTTCATACAAATCAGTTGTAGAAACTGGAGCGTCTATTCGAATACGCTTATGTTCCCGCTGGCGATCAAATGCTGGATCAGGATCTCTCTCCTTTCCATACCTGGGCACCATAACCCGTTATTCATAACCCGATTAGGATTTAACCTGGTTATGCATCCTTATTAAGTTATCCTGTTAACCGGTTATGCCGTTCTCCTTAACCCGTTAACCTGATAATAACCTAATAAGGCCTTCTTGGCGTTCTGGGTGGCGTTGATCTGTGACAGTATAGCATGACCTGGAATTATTGGCTATCCTGTGGTGTCTGTGTAATGGGATGTTTACTTTTTGTACATGAAACTAGGAATCCCGTGCATCCCGCGCATTTGATACATATCCTAGTCAACGGAGCGACTACAAGTACAGCTCTAAGAATGCTGGTAGAACTCAACACAGTCAACCATATCTTATTGCCCCTCGCATTCTCCTCCTATTGTTACATGGTCCTTAAAAGACCCTGTAAGTCCTTCGAATCACTTTAATGCTTACTGCTTTCGACTTTTAACCCTTAACCCACTATCGAAATGCCGTCCAAAGCATCTTCAATATCAACGCCTGAGACATCAACACCATCAGAACCAGCGCATTTCGATGCCGTTATCCGCTCTCACCATATCATTGCCCAGAATGCGCATCGTAAGCGTCGCAGGATTCAGTACAGTGTGTCCATCAACCAAGTAAACCAAAAATCGACCCTCTTACTTGACTTGGCTGACGAGAATCCTTTACCTTGCTTGATTGGTTGACGAGGAGCCTTTGCTTTGCTTGGTTGGTTGACATTACTCGATACAGCGCGTCCAACGTACCTAAGCTGTACGTAGGGGACCTCTCATTGGTCCGTACCGTATCCGTAGAGGGTGAAGGTTTGGGAGCCGTAGTACGGCATACGGCCCGGGGTTATCGGGTATTAGCTGGGGATCGGGCGTGAGGCCTAAAAAAGAGCGCAGGAGTCCTATACAGCTAATTTCTTAGTGTTGCGATTGCTGTAGTCATCGCAGTACTCAAAAAGAAGCAAAAAAGAGAGGTTTGTAACCTAATTCGAACAACAAAAACAGACAACAGCCTACAGTAGTTCCAACTAGACCTAAGAGAGCCATATAAGGCCAGGACAAGTCCCTACTAGTAACTACACTACACTATTGTAGGTCTAGTCAACGGAGATGGCAAAATCTCCATTCACAACAGCGTGTATACATACCTGCGCTGCCGGGGTCCTTGTAGTGTTGATTAATGGGATATAGCTGGCTTACGCGGTATCTTGACATGGCCCGGAGCCTCCTGCAAACCTCGCGCGTATACCGTGCCAGCGATCCATGAACCATGCGTTGCTTGTTCGTCGGCGAGTTTCTTGTTAACGCCGTAGTCTCGCTTAAAGCCGCCGCACGACAGGTGTTGGCGGGATATTGCAATTGCGAGATGCCGATATGTCAGGATGCCGAGTGCTGTGTTGAGGTACAGACGCGCCTCTCGTGAAATCACTCGCGTGAGCCTGCTTGGGTCCCAGGTTTCGTTTTCCTTTGGCCAAAGAAAAGTAGAAGGCGGATCCTTGCGCTTGTACACTAGGATATCAAGCTGCTGCCAGAATGGCAGGATGAGCCAAAGGTAGTACACCAGCAACTCGCTCACCTCTTTTGGCAGGTATCGATGGATTATCTTCGTTGATCCAGTAATATTGTAGCCCTTATGGTATGAGGTAACTGTACTAATCAAGCCTTCTTCAATGAAGATCCCGCGGTGCTGTCCCTGAGCGGTATTGCTATGCTGCAATCCTATGAGCTCCGTGCCGCGTGGTGGCTGCCCACCCGTCATGTGGATGAGCAGGAGCAACCGCTCGAGGAACTGGTCCACCTTCTCAAAGTACGCTTGCACTGCCTTCGTCTTCCACCGAAGCTGGGATTCTGGGCTCATATCAACCATCTCGTCCCTCAGCCAGTCGTTCTTAAGTACTCTGTCAAGCAGCCATCTGTCGCCGCCCTCACGAAGCTGGTCTGCATTGCGCTGATCCTTGAGGAAATTCCAACCTTTCTTCCCGCAGCTGTGATCATCGTGAAGTCGATGGAGATGGACTAGTGGCACTACATCGTCGCGACTCTCGTCGGGATGCAGAAGGAACAATCCTTCAAGCTCTTGTTGGGCCTTGTTAACTTGTATTGCGACAAACTTTCGCAATGCATCCATGCTGAAGCCCGAGTCCTTGTATGTGACGGAGCTTCCATCCTCTGACCAGGCGATGTAGCCAAGCGATGTTGTGTTGCTCACCACCTTTTTCGCGTACGATCGCAGTCTGCATGCCCAGTCGAAGGCTGTCCGAGATCCCCGCACCATAAAACGCTCTCTCATCTCGTCCAGCATGTCCGACGGGTGTTCGACTTCTCTCTCTTCCGCAGCGACTACTGATCGCTGTACAACAAGCATCTGCGCCATCTTGATGAACTTGGATAAATCAGGCGAATAGCTGAGCGGGCCGCGAAAGACGCCACCGGGGTTCTCGTCAATGCCTAAAACTGCGAGGAAGCTTAAAACTACGCTCTCGAAGTGGTCGCCTTGAAGTGTGTGGTCGAGTAAAGCAATGCATAGTTGCAGACATGCTCTGTCAAGGTTGCAAACTACCTCTTCTACTCTTTCTGTAGGCGACCCAGGACATCCTGATAGGCGCTGGAGGGACGAGAGCTCCTTCGCAAGGCGCATAACCCGATCTAGGTGGAACAACTGAGCATTTGTGAACCTGTGTAATAAGGGAACGTTGTGGCTTGGCTGACTCGTTCGGTACACAAAGCAGAGAAGGCGCGTCCAGATACTCTTGTACGCACGGAACGTGCTCTTCTGCAGTTTGACCATGAGCATACGGTCGTGCTTGCCTGAACGGCCAACAATAAAGCTGTTAATTTGTGCCTGGTCGAAAACGCTGATTTTGTCCTCGCAGATAGATTGGTGAGCGCGCTCAATAAGTCGGTCGAAGCTCTCTGAGACGACGATAAGGGCAGGCTCGGTGATCGGATTCGCTGCATATGCTAGTGGGGCGATGTCAGCCATGTGCAAGCCATTGAAGTAGCGCGGCCATCTAGTCATTTCAAGCCAAGGCGATACTTCAGTCTTAGAGACCTGGCTGTTATAGATCTTCGCTCTAGCATCTTGCTCGCAGGTCCCTACCGTATGCTGCTCCTCGATAAAGGCTCGGAAGACGTCGGCATGCCCTCTTGGTCTACTCTTCACCAGCTCTTGCACTTGATCTGGGACCTTTACTGAAAAGAAAGAGCTCTGCGCGCCAGTAACGAAGAAGCGTTGGCAGTAGACCTCTTGAAATATAGGCCCTTTGTCTTCTTCTCGTATGTCTGCTATCCTTGAGGGTCTCCCCCCCTTCCGTGGCAGCAGGCGATGTTGGTTAAAGTGTGTGCTCATCTGTTTTAGCGCTGACTTCGTTCGTAACCGTATAAACTTGCAGCAAGTACACTGGTAGCCGCGATAGAGTCTAAGCTCTGGGATTGGCGAATCTGTTGCTAGTGGCATAGGAATAGTGGTAGTTGCTGGATTAAGGAGGTGGTATTGGTTAAGGAGATAGTTTGCGAGCAGGTCAGCTGGCTTTCGTAATGGAGAGGGAAGTAAGAAATTAATAGCAGCATAACGCGCATCGTTAAGGTGGTGGACTCTAATGTGGGTGGCAAGAGTAGTAGGCGGAACAGCATAGCCGCATGGCTTGCACAGCAGTACGCTAGAGGGCGCATAGAAAGTAAACAAATCCATAGTTAGGGACTGTACAGTAACTGCAGTAGTAGCGGCAAGCAGTAGAAAGCAAGGAAGAGAGATATTAGCAATATAATATGCGTTCTTAGTAGATAGCAGCGGCTTGTTGACAGAAGAAAAGCGTACGCGTTGCGTGCTAGTCGACGTGGGTCTATTGTTGTTGTTGCTGTTTAGCGCCGAAGTAGGATCGAGGTGGAAGCGCATGGGTGTCTCCCACTACCGCAGGTGATTGGCTGAAAACGCCATTGAGGGCTTGATGGCCATGGTCATATATCTTAGTATTGTAGGGGCTGTAGGACGCGATGTGCAAAGTTTTCCTAACATCTTCCAGCTAAATTGTCTTTAGATTGCTATAAAAGTCAAGCAGAAAGCACTAACAAATCAGGGAATGAGTGAACCGACCCTTCAGCGAATGCGCAACAGTGTAAGGGTGCGATGGGTTGACCATAAGTGCAAGGTATAACAGTAATGAATTCGATAGAGAAGCTACACTACGCTTGCGCTGAGTCTATGTATCACGTAGTGCTAGGTTCGAGAAACTTCTAAGGGTCCGTGGAGCGCCGATGAAGCCCCGACAACGCTCCGAGGGTTGCAGCCTATCCCAACCAGCTATAACGAAGGCCACAGGCCAAGTACTACTAACCAAGGCTTCAGCCTCTTACAAACAGGAACCATAATGCATCATTTAACGCTCATCGACTATTCTTATCCTCAAATCGGGCACTCCCACTTGCTTTCGTCCTTACAGCTCTGTCTCACTCCGTAATCACAGCAGCCCCCCGACCCAGATTTCCCATTGAGCTGGTAGACATGATCTCGTACCCATTCAGTCGTAACCTGAGGGCAATATCCACAATATAAGCCAGCACTAATACCCAGTTTGGACCTACAACCTGTGGTATAGTCGCAGGCACGCTTCTCAAGGTCAGGAGATCCTGCCTGAAGTTCGGCATGGGGCCTAGCCACGGCGACAGTGACAGCGACAAAAAAAGCGAAGAGGTTGAGCTTCATGGTGGAGTCTTGGAGCTGCATCAGTATCAGTAACAAGAGCCCCAGGATTTAGGCCTCAAACGTACTAGTATTGGCTGTGCTTTGCGTTTCTTAATGGAGGTGAAGAGAGCAGACTGTATTATGGAGGCCTTCACACCTCTTTATACTTTGTCTGCGCCCGCCTTCTGCTCTACAGATCCCACGAGATCTTACATACTGCGACCATTGCCATTGTCATTGCGTAGAATTCAGATCAAATCTCGCATTCAATGCGGAGCTATCAACTAAGTTGCAAGTGCTAATACAGAGCGAGGCAGGGCATTAGACTAGTGAAGCTTAAGACAATATGCTGTGGTAGCCGTAAGAATTAGGGCCACGAGAGACCGTTTTTCTTCTACGACAGCCTATCACAACCCTATTGCGTACCATCGTGACGCTTCATTGCGTAACCTGTGACTGTTAGGGTATTGCCAAAACAAGCTTCAAGAGCTTCAAGAGCTTCAGCAGCTCACATTAGCAGGACTTGTGCCGCTGCAATCAGAAAGGTGAATACCAATACAATCCATTAAACGTCGAGATCTCGTTTGTGTAACGTAAGTGAGTACGTAGTGATGACCTAACCATCTACCAGTGATAGGCTTAATTAAGGTCAGCTGCGAAACTGAGATAACTCGCACCAATAAGAGTAAACGCTAAGGCTTCAGCTAAAAAGCCATCATTCCACAAGTTAACTTAGGGGCCAAATGTAAGGCAGACTTCACGCGCAGAAGAGCGAACTGGTTGAGTAGAAGCTTGTATTCTCTGTTAGTAAGCTGTATGGGACCTTTTTAGTTTACTAGAAAATGCAATAACCACGTTAACAATACATGCATAGACAGCGAGTAGCTAAAGGAGTTAAAAATAGTAAGTGCATCCTATGCTAACCTGTTGTAGTTTCTTCTAGCACTAATGTTACTCAACATTAAATTGTCAGGACGCAGCCCTGCACTACTACGCCATGCAACCAAAAAGGTACGTATAATCAGTGAACTACTGATCATAGTGCAGGATAGTATATATCGTCAGCCAGGGTCTGACATAAATGCCTAGGCTAGAATAGATCGGCGATGTTATGCAAGCAGCAGCATCAGTTGTGGCGAGTCTCTAGCTACTGTAACTTAGCGTTGACCAGCGGATCAAGCTAAGCAGAGGCCACCGCGTCAGTTAATCCGCAGATTAAGCCAAGCAAAAGCAACAGGCAGAAGGCTAAGCTAAAAACTAATTATTTGCCACAAGAAAGCTTTAAATTACTAGTTAACGATGCTATTCTAAGAACATCTATTTTTGTAACCTGTTGTTAAGTTTGTTATGTTAAGGAGCGTCTGTGGTGTTGTAAGGGGTAGTTTCAGGCAATAGTACTTGCTTCACACTACAGAAGATAGTGAGAGATGGCTCTTGTATTACTGCACTAGCTGTTGATGGAAGTTGCAATAATACCTGCTGGTTTCCCCGCAGGTCAAGCGCAGCTTATGAGCAGGAGTGCTGATGCTAACGCTAACGATAAGCGAGGCTTAGCACAACCACAACTGGTTTGCAGGCCAAGTATGAGCCTCCCGTGACAGGTGTCTCGTCACGCAGTGTCTCGCTGCGCAGTGATAGACGTTAGAACTTCGTGTGGAGGAATTTGTCACGGGGTCGGCAGGCAGAGGAGATAGGTGCACGTGATCGGTATATTCACTACGTACGGCTGACGGGACGGGGTCAGGCTAAGACAAGGACGTAGCTCAAGGAGCTTACGACGGGACGCGTTCGCGCAGGAATTTCAGTGTTGCTGAACCCGGGTGCGCTAGTCGCACCCGGATTCTGTGCGGCCAATCGGAGCAGGGCGCCATTCTTGGTGTCCCTTATCAGCCAGCTGTTATGGGCGGAAAGAGGCCTGCTAACGAGTATGCATTTGCTCCTATGTACAGAAGAAGAAGGATAAGGAAAAGAAGAGTAGCGTCCTCCTCGTACGGTATTTATCCTCCGTACACTAATACAAAGATAGATAAGCGGGAAGTTCTTCGGCGTAGCCTCTTGTGGTACTTAGGCGTAGCCCCTTACACCAGCGCCGTGACACACTGCCCGTTAACAGCCTACGCTGTCACTAAATGCAGGTTTATCCTGTATTAGACACTAATTAGTGATAGTTACTTCTATTTCACTTCAATTTCGTTTCAGCTGAGGCTTCCCTGATTTGCTATCAGCTGAGGTCTCTTTAGCTGAGGTTTCCTGTTCATTAGCTGAGGTCTTCTTAGCTGAGGCTGTTTTGCCTTGTACAGCATTCTAACCTTACTGGCTACCCGCCCAACGCGCTAAGGTAGACCAAACCAAACCAGTTTAGCTTAGCACTATTAGGCGGTTCTCATTGTAAGGGGCTGCGCAAAGTATGCCGCTGCCTGGTAACAGGATTGTATTCGATGAAGAAGAGAACCTATCTACGGTGGTGCGATATCTATATACGTTTAGCTTGTCGTGGCATCTTGAAGCTTCTAGAATGCCGAGGAGGCTCCGAAGGTTCACCATAGCATCCGGGCTCTAGCCCGTTACACTCTACCGGTTATGCATGGTAGGGTGCTAAGACTTTCATTCGCAAGCAGGGGTAACTAGACTTTGTTAGAGCCGTATTCAAGGGGAATCCGGTTTTGCTAGCGACTGTATGCATTAGCAGTGACACCTTTATTACAGATGTAATTCTTTGAACATACTTGCCAAGCTATTAATTCCGAGCTGAATACTGATGGCGGTGTGACGCATACATGGGCAAATGGGTTTTTGAAAAAACCGGTTAAGCAGCCGTTAGCATACCAAACTCTGTCTTTACCAATCCGAGAAAATCCTGTTACTAACAGCCTCTGTTTGATTGACTGAAAACGGCTTTGGTACGCTAACTTCTGCTTAACCGGTTTTCCAAAAACCCATTTGCCCATGTATGTGATCGTCGAAACATTCATAACACCCAGGCAGCCACTTAATAGCTTGAATTTTCGCCTCTGCTAACCGATTCTTTAGGTCTCGAAGTAGCTCGTAAAAGGGTATAATAACAATAGTGATGCCGTGGCTTGGGAGACAGGCAGGCGCCATCACAGTCCGCAACAATCAATTCAATCTGGACTCTGTCAGAGACCCACTTACCTATCTCGGTAGGAATTAAACTTGTATAGGAAATTGCTAGGCTTAAAGAGGTAATCAATCAAGTCAATCTGAACCTTCTAACACCCACTTAATTGATTGTTGCGGAGTCTGGGCGCCATAACAAAGAGGCTCTTGCCGCCGCCTGTAGGGAGGACAACAACTAGTGTTGTCTCCTTAGCAAGAATCGCGTGCAACGCAAGCTCTTGCTCAGGGGATTAAAGGTAATTGGACCTTCTCTTGGCACTAACCTCTGGATCAATGCTTGGAGTACTGCCTCCAGTTGTAGGCCTGGGTTGAGGCGACAGGGTTAGCACGAATCAGTACGAAACAGGCGAACCAATGAGAGCCCGAAAAACTGCACTGAGGGCTGGGTGGAGTTGGCCATGTATCTCTAGACCGGTAAGCCTGCTCAATAATACGATCGAAACTCTCCCCCATAATGACCAGAGCCGCCTCAGTAACGGGATTGGGCCCGTACGCTAAGGGCGCCACCTTGGTCATGTCCAGACCATCAAAGTAGCGGGGCCAGTTTGTCATTTCAAGCCAGGAGGAGACCTCCGTCTTTGCGACTGGGCTGCTGTACGTCTGCGCAATGACCTGTTGCTCGAGTTGGCCAGCATGAAGTTGCTCGTTGATGATGGCCCGAAGGAGATCTACCTTGCGCGTCTGAGGTTTGGCCATTAGGTTCTGCAACTTAGGCGGCACATGAACGATAAAAAAAGAGCTTTGGTGGCATGAAATAAAAAAGCGCTGGCAATAGACTTCTTTGAACATTGGCCCTCTGTCTTCTTCTGGTATAGTCGCTGACTTTCCAGGTCGTCCTTTTCTCCGTGCAAGCAGTCGGTGTTTACCGAAGTGCCGCTTCATAGATTCCTGGGACGACTTTGTTTATGAGAGCACGTACTCGCAGCGGGTGCATTGATAGCCGCGAAAGAGTTTTAGATCTAGGAGACTCTCCTAAGGAGAGGCGGGTCTGTGGGCGACGGTCGCGGGATTTCGTGAGTTCTCGGGTCAAGAAGGTCATATTTCTCTTGAAGGTGCTTGGCAAGAGTGATGTCAGGTCTACTTGCTCGAGACTTCGCGGAATCGAGGCCGGCATCGCGGGTTGCCTCGCGTGCGTGATCTTTCTTGATATGGCTGGCAAGATGCAGGGGCGCGACGGCGCAGGCACAGGGTTTGCATACTAGAACTTGGTATTGGGGTAAGAATGTGAACAGATCCATGGTGGGATGGGGAACGGTTTAAAACGCGTAGTATAGGGACGGGATGTGGTCGCCAGTGCGAGATTTATGATGGAGCGAAGAGGTTGGTGCATTGCAATACTAGACACGACTAAGACGCGGTCCTTCCTACGCGTACTCGGGCCTACTATTTGTTGCGTGTTCCGTCACGGCCCTTCTATCACACGGGGCTTCCCAGAACCGAGGCAGGCAGTATGGGACCGAGCTCTTCGCCGATTGGCCCACAAATGGGATGAGGGTTGACCCGAATTAAGCATGTATCTTAGAGCCACCGGTCTAGCGGGTAGGTCCAAGCATGACTCGCTCGAGCTTGAATACACCTACTACGCCGCACTAGACTCCACGCACGCCTGTTTTGGGAGCGGACAGTAGTAGAGGTAGAGACTTATACACAGTCCTGCAGCAGCGTTAAAATTAGCTTAGTTATTAGTGCAGATATACAGAATCTTCTATTGTCATCTCGCAAACGACTTCGAGCTTCTAATGCCTATCTTTGCTAGCCCGCGTAGCAGCTTCGACACTTTGCCTGTGCGTGCACGTGCGCTGCTATCCGCTATTGTAGGAGAAACAGCAAGCTGGTGCTGCTAGTGCGATGCAAGCGCGTCAGTGTAATGCTGTTGACACGCACGCGTGATTGGGTGATCCTTCCCAAGTACAACTTGGTATCCAGCGCATGCTCGTTCATACAGAGCAAGAGATTCGCTGTAGCACTGCTGATGTGCGAGGAGGTGGGCAAGACAGTATATGCTCGCCAGCGTGGATGGATGCTCATGCCCGAGCACCTTCTCCTTCCGCGCCAGCGTCTGCCGGTTCATCGCCTCCGCCTCTTCGTACTTGCCCTGACTGTTGAGCACGTTCGCCAAGTTGTTCATGCTCGTCAGCGTGGATGGATGCTCATGCCCGAGCACCTTCTCCCTCCGCGCCAGCGTCTCTCTGTGCATCGCCTCCGCCTCTTCGTACTTGCCCTGCCTGTTGAGCACGTTCGCCAAGCTGTTCATGCTCGTCAGCGTGGATGGATGCTCATGCCCGAGCACCTTCTCCCTCCGCGCCAGCGTCTCTCTGTGCATCGCCTCCGCCTCTTCGTACTTGCCCTGGCTGTTAAGCACAAACGCCAAGTTGTTCATGCTCGCCAGCGTGTCTGGATGCTCATGCCCGAGCACCTTCTCACTCCGCGCCAGCGTCTCTCTGTGCATCGCCTCCGCCTCTTCGTACTTGCTCTGGATGTTAAGCACGTTCGCCAAGTTGTTCATGCCCGCCAGCGTGGATGGATGCTCATGCCCGAGCACCTTCTCCCTCCGCGTCAGCGTCTGTCTGTGCATCGCCTCTGCCTCTCCATACTTGCCCCCAAGCCGCCTAGCTAGTCCTACCATCCCCATGCTGCTCAGCGTCTCCGCGTTGTCTTCCCCAAGCATTTCACTTCTAACCTCCATCGACATCATCGCCATCTCCTCTGCCTCGCCTGCTCTCCCTCGTTGCCACGCGTACCATGCCGCCTTGTACAGCAACAGCGCCCACTCCTTCAGTGACTCTCTATCCTTCGGCCGCTGTGCCAATGCCGCCTGTGCGTGTGGAAACAGCGCCTGGCACTTCTCCTGGTTCTCGTATTCTCCCGTCGGCAGCTCTGCGCACAGGTTTGAGATGAACTGCTCTCTCCACCTGTCTAGCTGCCCTTCGTTCTCTAGCCACGTGCGCGTCGCTAGCTGCACTAGGCTGTGCATCTCAAACGTGCTCGCGTCTCTCGTGACAGTGACAAACGAGTAGTCTCGCAGGGCCAGCACGTCGTCCTCAAATCCGTCGTCTGCTGTGCTGCTCTGGCGGCGGAGCAGAGCTTCCTGGATCCCCTGTCGGTCGAAGAAGCTCATCAGCGACAGCAGGCCTGCTGCAGACTGTCTTGTGCTCCGTATGTGGTCGAACGAGATCTGCCACGTTATCAGGACAGAGTTGCTGGCTGCTGCATCTCGGCGAAGGTGGCCCGCCTCCCGGTTCAGCAGACTTGTCTTTCTGCTGTCGCTCTGCCGGTACTCGTCGAGGTACTGCCGCACCGAGCATCGCGGCGCTCGTTCTCGAATGTAGGCCGCCGCCTGCACGAGAGCAAGCGGCATGTGATCGAGCGTCGTCGCTAGCTCAGCGATGCTGTCGTCTTCCTCGTCTGCGTCTCTTAGCTTGTTGCGGAGCAGAGCGCGTGCAGCTGCATTGTGCATTGGCTCGATCGGTATGATGTCGATGTCCTCTACGACCTGCATCGCCGCGCGCTTTGTCCGGCTCGTCACCAGGATGGAGCCATGCCTGCTTGAGGGGATGTATCTCGACAGATGCTGCTGGAGAGCGCTGCTGCCGCCGCCGCCATCTGTCGGGGAAAGAACAGCAGCATCGTCCGCGTTGTCCAGCACCAGGAGCCACCGTCCGTTCTTCTCGTCGCGCAGCCAGTCGTGCACCAGCTTGAACACGTCCGCTTGCGGGTCCTTGCGCCCACGAACCTTGACTTGGTCGGCGATCTCGCGGAAGCTCTGCTCGAGTCGCGCTGTGTTGCTGGCGTGCGCCCAGAACACCCACGTGTCCGGCGACTGCTCAGCGGTGCGGTAGCAGTGCTCGATGGCCAGCTGCGACTTGCTGCGCTCACGTTAGATGCGAGCGCCAACCTAAGCTCTTTTGCCGAACCTACCCCACCCCGCCGAGGCCCACCAGCGCAACTCGCGATGCTGGCGCAGCGCATCGTTCGCGGATCTGGTCGAGCAGCGTTCCACGATCTACGAAGTCTAGGTCGCGACGGAACGGCACGAAGCACGAGGGCTGTGGTGGGGTCTCAGGACGTTCTGCGCAGAAGAGCGCCGTCAGCACAGTGTCGGTCAGAGCGCAAGCGGGCGGGCACTTACCAGGAGCGTGGATGTGGGCCTGGATAGAGCCAAAGTTGTATCCGACCTGCAACCCTTGATTTCCTGGGCCCGTGAACGTGGTGGTCACGCTGGGGAAAGCCATTGCGCTGTATGTGACAGCGGCTGGGTTTACGCGTTGTTGTAGGCTTTGCGAAGTGGCACAGCTACCCTACGCATAGGGCTGAGTCGTTGAGGCTGAAGCTCGGCTGTTACAGCTGAACTATCATGGCCAAGTAGCGCGGTCATCATCGCATGCCAAAATAACACGGGCACTAATTCATGTACATCTATCGCGAGATTGTCTTTCGGCAATATGATCGCTTTTATGGTATTTGTTGTCTAATAATGTTACTGTAAGCATAGGGTGGTAGTAGTATAAGGTCACATGTATGAGTGTGTTCTTCTGTGTATGTACAAATGTGTGATCTGAGCTCTTAAGTAGTCGGACGCATTAGTCATGCCTGCAGAGCAGTCATGTGATGTGGTCCTAGGCTTACAGTTACATCAATACATCAATACCAGTGATCGGCATGGAGGGAGATCTGGCCACCTCCACGATTCACCTCCATCTCCATACCGCCATGGAGACTCCATATAATTCTGAACCGACCTGATTAACCTGTTTAGTAGTAGTGAAACAACGTTCGTCGCAACAGGGTGGAGAGAGAATGTCCGTGCGCAGGGTGTTTCAGCAGAGCTTCTAACGTCACTCCATCAATCGTATGCTAGTTCCTATTAACATCATCATCACTATCTCTATTAGTAACCTGTTTTGATATATCCATTGCTACAATATCATCGCAAAGCCCTCAGAATTCTCAACAGACTGCTGGCCGGTCGAGTAAGCGACACAGGAAGCCCTGGGGCAAGTTTCAAAGCAATTCTCTACCATCTTCGTCGCAGCGGACGGATGTTCCTGACGATGACTCTGATAGATTATCAGAGCTCGACTCGGCAGACGTCCATGACCCTGCAGGCCTCCAGTATACCAACGACGACAGTTTAGAGGTCCTACAGGATGTTCCACCCGTATCTCAAACCCCGTTCAACTACTCTTGGGTCCGCTGGGAGGATCCAGGCCTTGACGGGATGGTCCAACCATCCCGTCAGTTCAAGACGCGCGCATGGTGGTGGAAATACGGCGTACCGTTGGAGAAAATCGTGAGCTCGAAGGATGGCAGGGAGAAGAGAGAGACCTACTTTCTGTGTAGGACTTGCCATCTCCACCATCCTAAGGCAAACTGCAAGCTCAATATAACGTACGGCCGTGCTGGGGCTCTTGATCACCTTAAGGCCTTCCATACCAATGCGTTTATGGACAACGATGCCCGCCAAGGTAGTGTAGGAGAAGAGGAAAGCATTTTAGAGATGCTCGATCTCAGTGACCCTATGCAGCAGAGGATTTATAACAAGCTCATGGAGCTGTCTGATCCAGATGGACTCAAAAAGGACATCCTACAGTGGATTATATTTGATAATATCCCGTTTCAAAAGGTCGAGAGTCCCTATTTCCGCGCAGTATTGTCCCGGATTGCACCATTTTCAAAGCAAGACAAGTTTCTATCGGCCCGAACAGTGCGGAGATGCATGCTAAGAAAACTTACTCTCCATAAACAGGATATCCGAAAGCTTCTCCACAACAGTTACGGCAAGATACACCTTGCCTTTGACATCTGGACATCTCAGACAAACCGCGCCTTAAACGGAACAGTCGCTCATTGGGTGGATCAAGATGGCAGGTGTCAAACTGCCGCCAGTGATCGGAATGGTCCGGTATGGTATGGTATGGAGGTCAAACCATACCATATCAGCTGCTTATGTAATAACTGGTATGGTCTTACCGGTAAGACCAGTAATACCGCCAAGACCGCCAAGAATGAGGTTGAAGTTGGAGAAGGAAGAAAGAGAATGTATATACTAGTAGGTATCAACCGTATCGTCGCCATTCTCACTATCCTCGCTATTGCTGTTATCTTCAATTTGGGGCCTTCCATACCAGGCCCGGAGACACTCACACGCCTCTATAATATCTGCCTTCAGCCTACCACGGCGATCGACGATAGTAAGCTTCGCGCTACTAAAAAGACGTTCGCATTCATCCGACATAGGCGAGATCGCAAACATGTTTAGAGCGAAGCGAGCGAGATCTCTTTGGGAGTCGTAGCGAGATAGCCAGTACGCAATAGCCTCATCGCAACCTGCTTCTTCGTCATGAAGCCGGTCAGTAGAGATGTACTGTTCATACAAATCAGTTGTAGAGACTGGAGCGTCTATTCGAATGCGCTTATATTCCCGCTGGCGATCAAATGCTGGGTCAGGATCTCTCTCCTTCCTGGCTGGTGGTGGCAGCATCTTGACAGGGTACCTTCCCTTATACTCTGTCTCCCAGAGATGCTTCACCGCTGATTGTGCGTTGTCAAACCACCTCTTCTTACCTTCAGAAAGCAAAGTTGCAGCGTAGAAGTCTTTGAGAGCGAGTTCAATCTTTTCAAGCTCGAACTAGTGCTGTCCATCAAGCTTAAAGTGCGCAATCCCTAGAGAGCCCTTTCTAGGTACATGACGAGCTGAGAAGAGCTCTAAACGTTCACGAACATTTAATGCACGTGTAATCGAATGAAACTATGAGTTCCAGCGGGTCGAGTTGTTCTGGATAAGCTCAAGCCCGTCGAATTGTGAAAGATCTCCGCCGATAATGATTGTAGCAAACTCCTCACGCCGTTGTGGAGTAAGCCTGATGTATCGCACCAGGTTGTGAAGACGACCCAAACATCCAAACTTCTTCCAGAGCTCTTCCACCTTCGTATAGTCGCCACGTTGATGATGCTTCTCCAGCTTCGCAAGATACTTCTCACAGTTTCGGCCCATGAGGAACGCCTGGCAGCAGAGGTTGATAACATGGCCCAAGCAACGCAGCCGGCGATGGCGACGTTGTTTTGACTTCATCCATGGGCAGATATCCTTGAGTATGAACTCAACAGCGGTATCATTTGACGAGGCATTATCCAGCATGAAGTATCCAATCTGATCTCCGCCAATGTCGTATTCTTTCAGCAATTCAAGGACTACCGATCCAAGATTCTCCCCAGTATGTTCGCCGTATATACGTCGCATACCTAAAGCGGTAACACGTCGCATGCCGGTAGTGTCAATCCACATAGCGACGACGCCTAGGATAGCGTAAGGGTTTGGTGAAGTCCAGAGATCAAAGGAGATGGAGATCCTACTCCGTGAACGGTGTAGGTCCTCCCTAAGCTGTTGCTTCTTCGATATAAATGCATTCATTACCCAGCTCCGGATAGTCCTCGCAGCCTTCGGGAGGTGGTTAAGTAGTGCCGGATTTAAAAAGAGGAGTAGTTCACGAAAGTACTGGTTCTCCAATTGAAAAAAGGCGATATGGCAGTACACAATCCAACGAATTAGAAGCTCTTTAAACTTCTCCACTGACTCCTTCCAGAAAAAGGTGCTGGAAGCAGCCCCATCCTTTTGCTGGTCGATTATAGACTTCCGTACAGAACCCTTTCTCTTCATGCCACTCTGGGGATCAATCCGGTGCTTCTGTTCCAGGTGATTCCGGATCCTAGAAGTGCCATTGATGACAAACAACTCTTGCTTGCTCTTTCCAACCCTGCACTCATGGCAGTAATACACCTCTTTCTTACCGCTATCTCGAATGTATTGGAGTCCATACTTCCAGATGTGTGATGTACCTTGACGGAAATCCTTCTTTGCAATTATTGCACGTTTCACGTACGCGATACCGCCCTGTACGAACTCATCTGGAGGTTCGTGATATTGAATAGGAATGGGTGATAGTATAGGGGTGGGTGATGACGTGGGGATAGGAGATGGTGTAAGATGTAAGAGGCTGAAGCCTTGGTAGTAGTACTTGGCCTGTGGCCTTCGTTATAGCTGGTTGGGATAGGCTGCAACCCTCGGAGCGTTGTCGGGGCTTCATCGGCGCTCCACGGACCCTTAGAAGTTTCTCGAACCTAGCACTACGTGATACATAGACTCAGCGCAAGCGTAGTGTAGCTTCTCTATCGAATTCATTACTGTTATACCTTGCACTTATGGTCAACCCATCGCACCCTTACACTCGGTAATTGGTCTCCCATAAACTGTGCCACCAATCTTGGAACTGTGCCCTGTCTGAATGTCAAATGCGTCGTCCTCGCCGTCCTCATCTTCGTCGCCCTCTACGACTGCCTTTATGACCGCCTTGTCATTGATGTATTTCCGATATATCGCCTTGCCGCTGTGTCTCCACGCCATGATGTTGAGCTTCACGCCTAGCCACCGTATTGACACGCGCTGGATCGCCCGCCGAACCCGGTTGGTATCCCATTTCTCTGGTCCACGCAACGACGGTTCCTCCTCTTTCGTTCCTCTGCCTTGTTCTTCTTCCCTCTCCTCTTCTCTCTCGTCTTCCCTGTCCTCTTCGTCCACGTCCTGTCGCCGAACTTCACTCTCCCCCTCACCCTCATCGCTTTCTCGTCCCCTTTTTCCACGTTGCGGCCGTGCCCACGGCTCCTCCTCCCTTGGCTCCCATATGAATGGGCTGGCTTCCTTTACTGCCTCTTTCCTGACGGCCCCCTCTAACTTCCTCCAAAACGGCATGACCATCCACAAATAATAAAACAACAATTCACCCACCTCACGCGGTAAATACCGGTGGATGATCTTGGCCTTTGCGCTGGCCCCGATGCCTTTGTGGTACATAGTCACGTACACCATCAACCCGTCCTCGATGAACACACCACGGCTCTCGCCATTGGGGCTGTTCATGTACTGGACCGTGACCACTTCCGTTCCACGTGCTGGCAGTCCCCCAGTCATGTGCACCAAAACTAACAAATGCTCTCGGAACGCTTGCATGGCCTTCTCGTACTCTCTCACAGCCCGAGCTCTCCACACCACCCCGCGTCCTTCGGGTACGGATGGGTTGGTGGCTTGGACGTCTACAAATACCTCTTGTAACCTCTTCTCGTGAATCACGCGATGCGCCAACCAACTCTTCCCGTCTATGCCTCCAAAGGTGTTGCGCTTGTCCTGGAAAAAGTTCCACCCAACCTTCATCTCGGCTGGGTTGTCGACGATGCTGTCCCAATGAATTGTTGGCAACGGCGTGGCCCCTTCCGCTAGCCGGCCATCCTCGTCGATGGCTAACAACAGCAACTGCTTTTGCAATTCGAACCGTGCCGTTTCCACCAATCCGTGGATCATCGACCGTAAACCGGGCATCGTGAAGCGGATATGGCCGTATAACAATGTACCGCCCACCCATTCAATCACGCCATCTGCGTTGGTGTTGAACCGGATCTTCATGCCATACGTCCGCAATCGCAACAACCAGTCCATCGGACTGGGCATGCCGCCGTAGCTGGTCAACGTCATGAAACGATTGGCGCTTTCCTTGATCAGTTCAAAATGGCTTACGGCCATTTCATCGGCGTCCTGGCGGGCGTAACCCTCCTTATTCATGATCTCGGTCACGCGGTCTTGACGCGTCTTCACCGCCGTATATAACACCAACATCCGTGCAACGGTAACGATGGCGGAAATAATGGGCGTGTACGCTAACGGGTCCTTCCACCCACGATCGCCATCTACCCCCATTACTGCTGTGGCGCTGACGAGCGCGCTCTTGTACTCGTTGTCTTTCAAATGATGGTCCAACAACGATACCAAAAACCCTAAAACGTGAGCCTCTAACAGCTCTTCCTCCTCTTCCTCTACCTCCTCTTCGCTCTCTGAGTCGTCGTCTCCGCCTTCAATTGGTTGGTGCTGACTTCCGCCTTCGGCTTCTTCCTCGTCCTCGCCTGCGACTTGTTTGATCTTCCACAACCACACAATCTGGCTGGCTGTCAATCGATACGGTGGCCTCCGTCCCCTGACACCCTTTGATCCACCGTCCCCGCTCTCTTTCTCATCCGCCTCTGCTTCCTGTGCTTCTACGGCCTCCGTTTCCTGTGCTTTAACGGCCTCCAACTCATGGGTCCGCCAAATGTAACGGATGATGGACGACCACCAGCCGGCATACTTGGCCATCGTCTTGCCTGTCTGGCGTGCATTGAACGGTTTCTCGTTGGTCTCGCTTCCCATTTCGCGGCGGTTGACGTAGTTCATTGCCGGAAAACCGACAACGCTTGGACGTGAAGCCTGCTGGGCCTTCCAAATCACCGTCTGCACCGCCCAACAAACTTTGCTCAACGCCTTCTCGTTCCTTCTGGGTTTCTGGATCAATTCGAGCAACCATTCGCGGTCTAAGCCGCCCAAATGACGGGCCCAACGAGTCCGGTTCAACCATGCGTGCGTGACATGCCGGTCGTAGTCTGCCTCGATCCGGTCGTTGGCTATCTTGTCGACCTCGTCCAACACGGCGGTGGTCTCTCGGAACACTGCCTTTAGCTGCCGCTGGATTATCCCACTTTCCCCTCTTGCGTCCCCTTCCCCCTCCCTCCTGTCCTGGCAGTTGACTTCAAACAAACGCCCCAACCGTCCTGCGTGCGTAAACTTCTGGCAACATACACCTCCAATCCATATCCTGTTGGTGTCCATGCACGGTCCCTTAGACGTTCGCCCTCTCTTCCGCGGGTTTGTCCAGTTGTGCTTGTTACGGCAATGCAACTGCATGTCTTGCACGGTTCGGCGGATGTAGCCACATGCCGTTGTATCGTTCTCCTTTGCCTCACACTTGAAACCGTCCTGCCATATTCTTAAATGGGGTATGGGTTCGGATCCTGGCTCTGGATACACGACTTCGTCCTCGTTTTCTGCCAAGTCGTTCATTGCCCGCACTGTTTGGGCAACGTCTGTTCGTGTGTTTACGGTTAAATATGCATGCTTGCTGTTTAAATGGGTAGCTACATGGGCCTTAACAACGCCTGTGCCACATTCTTTGCAAACAACAATGCGGCATCTGGGGTTGTGCACGAATATAGTGTTGAACTGATCCATTGTTCTTTGTAGGTGCATCGTATCATTTTCAAGTAGGCTCTATCTACTATCTCAAACGTTTCTCTCTTCCCATCACCTTGCCAACATCTCCTTTTTAATTTTCCTCCGTTGTACTGCCGTTTAATATTGTACCGATATCCCTATGTCTTTTGATTGGATGCGTGCCTGCCATGTAGTTCTGTGCAACGACGATCAAACTCTCGCACGGTCCTGCCTCACCAAAACTGCGCGGACAACGTTGGACGGAGTTTCTGTGCGAACGTGACAATTAAACACTAAATCTAAGCTTGCCAATTGAATGAACGGACACGGCTTAGGGGGTTTACCAGTTTTTTTTGTCAAGTTATCGCTTTTTACGACCTTAACTGATTTCTCTAAGATATGTAAATCAGTACTACCCCTGTCGTTCAAAACGCTCGGACTCCTAGGAAATCCGCAAGACCATTACTGTTCACCCTCTTGATGCTAGGCAAGTACACCAGCAACTCCAGCAACCTCTGTCAAAACTTTGGGGGTGTAAGAGTTATCGTATTGTCAAGGTGAGACCTAAGACTAAGTACTGACGCTAATTAGTCATGCAACATCAGTCACATGATCACTGTCTTCATCGCCCATCTTGACAACCTCAGCAACTTTGGCAGTACAATAGCTAACTACTTCCTCAAACAGCTGCTTTTACCACCAAAAAGAGCCCATCTCACGAACCGTACCGCGCCTCAAGCGCCTCACCTATACTGCCTCAAGCGCTTCACCTATACTGCCTCAACCAGCTCATTGCCCTACTAAGAGCTGGCCATTTGCCACTTCCTCAAACAGCTGCATTTCCCACCAAAAACAGGCTGCTGAGCAAACCGCAGAGTGCCCTGGGCATCTCACTCAACAAGCTCGATTGCCTCTGCCTCAACACCAAAAAATCGTCGCGATAGCTATTTACCAGCTTCAAATCAATCAAAACATCAATCAATCAACCCGTACAAGGCCCTCAAATCAATCAATTCAATCTGCGTCACCGTTATCACCCAATCAAATCAATATATGACCACCAGGTTGATTGGATTGATTGTTCCCAACTCTGCCCAGCTGTGCTCGCATTTCGTGGCACAAGAGCATTACGGCCGGCGTACTGCGCACCAAACTGCGTGTGAACAGCTTCTTATCAAAGTCGCCCTACGCATGTAATACTTGAAAAAGCTCCGCTGAAGCATAAAACCCGAATGGCGTATTTCACCAATCAAGACTCGGGACACCTCACTTACTTCAGCATGAGTAGTAGTAGTAGTAGTAGTAGTAGTAGTAGCAGTAGGTTCTATTTCTGTGTTATCTCAATCTTACAGTCTCGTTTGATTATGAACACAATACTATAAGCTGCTATGTAGCGACATTTTGGCTTGGAGGAAAAGGAAAAGCTTCTTCGGCTCTAACAACCTCTGCCCCGCAATCACTCTCTCTCCCTCTGCCTATCGACACTCGCAGCCATTGCTCTCAAACTTGCAGCTTCTGCTAAGGTTCGCAAATGGAGTTTAACCCCAAGCTTCCGATGAATTGCGTGTATCAACTGAACAAGGAGCAAAGAATTTCCGCCCACCGAAAAGAAAGAGGAGTCTGGGCTAATATGCACCATTTGCGCGGCTGCTCCAATGACATCGATCCATATGGCGCGAAGACTTGCCTCTGTTCCCGAAGCTTCAGCCTTGGTTTCGGCTTGCGGAGAGATTGTGGGCAGTGGTAGCCCCTCGAGAACAGCGGTGTTGAGTTTTCCATTGTGAGTGATTGGCAAACGCTCCAACGGAACGATGGCCGATGGGATCATATACTGTGGGAGTGCGAGTCTTTGGAGAAGGGCTACAAGCTGATGTTGTTCGAGGTGTCTCCGAGCTTTGAAGACGACATAGCAAACGAGGAACTGTGGATCGCCGCAAACAACTATTGCTGCATCAGCTAAGTCATCCGGCGCTGCTCCTATGATGGCGCCGGTGACCTCTCTGAGATCAATGCGCAAGCCTCGGAGCTTGATCATTGTGTTGTTAGAAACACAGCGGCCCAGGAATTCGATCGATCCGTCTTCATGCAGGATGCCCCAATCTCCAGACTTGTACATGGTGTCGAACCCTTGTTCCAGATATTCTGCGCTCGCGGATGGGTTCTTCACACGTTTACCGTCATCCAGTCCAGCGTCAAGATAGCCGTTGAAGACGCCACCGCCAGCGATACAGATTTCCCCGGGCATGCCCAAAGGTAGAAGGTCTCCGTGGCCTTCACTGATTATGTAAACAGACGTGTTTGGGAGGACGTAGCCAATGGACCCGGGTCGATAGTCGTCGGCGTCACTGGAATATCCTTTGCGGACCTGAATATCCTGACTGGTCACCACAAAAGCTTCAGCTGGCCCATAAGCATTGGTCACCATTAGGCGGGGCAGTTTTAGCTCTCGTATGGCCTCAACGAGCCGCTCAGGCAAGGCTTCTCCAGCCACATGGCAGAAGCGCCAAGAGTGGCATCGCCGCAAGACGTCTGGGGCATAGCTCAACAACAAGCTGTACTCGGAAGGAGTGCAGAAAGTGTATTCGATGTTCTCGTTGAGAATGAGTTCAGAAAGCACATCAGGGTCCCCTCTCGCTTCAGCAGGAGTAACGACTAGTGTTCCACCATTGGTGAAGGCGTTGAAGATTTGCCCAAAGGCCAGGTCAAAACCGATGGATGTCTGCTGCAATACTGTGACCTGCCCGAGACCGTATGCCTTGCTCGTGTGAGCAGCGTAGTTCATCATGCCTCTTTGGTGCAGCTTGATACCCTTGGGAACTCCGGTAGAACCACTTGTGAACAGTATGTAACTGACCGATCCAGGGTCAGAAACAGCGCGCTTGGGGTATTGCTCATGCTGGGGTTGTGACTGGGCGATCTCGCTTATGTTTAGCGATCTATGTTTGTCGTGATGCTGAATCACACTGCCTGCAGTAGCGGTGTGAAACACTAGGAGATCCGGCTGAACCGCATTCATGATATCGTTTCTCCTAGAAGCTGGCACGCTGACGTCCAGTGGAATTAAAATAGCCCCGATGTGGAAGACAGCCAACATTGTTCCATAAAGATCAATGCTCGGCTCGCATAGAACTGCAACCCGGGATCCAATCGTGATGTTTGCTTCGAGTAGAACGCTGGCGTAGGTCCCGACCAACCGCTTCAATTGACTATATGTGACGGCCCGGTCGCCATCTTTAACGGCAATAGAATCGGGAAAGCTGCCAACAACCTGCTCGAACCTTTCAGGCAACGACTGGGGCCACGAGTGACTGACATCAGCACCATGAGCGACTGTTTTAGCTTTGTGCAGCTGAGATTCGCTGAAGATTGCGACGTCCTTGATCCGGACGGAGGGGTTTGAGACCAGAGATTCGATGGCATTGAATAAGATGTCGGCAATGAACTCTGCAGCTGCAGGGTTGTAAAAGTCATCGCTGCACCTGATCTCAAAAATATGGCCGTCAGAGGGAGAATCCAGGACGCTGAGGGTCAAGTCCTGTAGAGTTGTGTAGACTGCACTTCCTGACTCCACAGTAGAGTCTCCGACAGAGCTTGCGAAGTTCTCACCGACTCTATAGTCATACGCAACTTGAACAAGAGGAATACCGCCCTCACTGCCCTCTACCTTGTTCTGCTCCGAGATTACAGCAAATGGTACCTTGTGGTTATCCAGGCTGTTCAAAACAATCTCGAAGGTGTCCTGAAGAACCTTTGGAAAATTCTCACCCCAAGTTCCCTTGAACCGGAGGGGAAGCATGTTGGCCATATGGCCGACTGTGGCTCCGAATTTGCTTGTTGGATCGCGACCATGGGACACAACACCAATGCAGATGTCGTCGATGCCCAGCAGGCGGCAGAGAGCAACTCGCAGGACGGCCAAGTAGAAGGGCATGAGACGGACGCCGTGAGCCTCACTAATTTGCGTCACACGCTGGACCAGCTCGGCACTGAGCTCTCTTTCGATGAGGTGGTACCCGTAAGACCGACGGGTCTGTCTGGTCTTGACCTTTGCCATCGGTAGCAAGGGCATAGCTTCCGGAATGGGGTTCAATAAGCGGTTCCAGTAGTCAATGCTCGCGTTGAGACGACCTGCCTCAAGGTCTCTAATTTGCTGACGAGCATAGTCCATGTACGAGGGAGAGTCCGTTGGTAGGGGTTGAGATTGATATGCGAGGTTGATATCAGCGAAAATGAACCCGATTGAGGCAGGATCGAGAACGATATTGTGGTACCCCATGACGAGAGTGTGCAAGTGTGCATCGTGACTGACCAGAGTGGCTCGAAGGGTATCTCCTGTGGCAATGGAGTACTCGTGTTTTGCAATCTGGTCGAATATGGTCTTAACGTCCGCATCTGCCGTCTCCTTGGTCGACTGCAAGCAATACAGTCGGGGGGTCGCATTCTTCTTAACGTGCTGCATAACCTGAGAGCTTCCAGGAGTTGCCAAGAAACATGTTCGCAACACTTCATGATGATCCATGACTTGGTTGAATGCCTGAGAGAACCTTTCTACGTCTAAGCAGCCCTTGATCTTCAATGTTCCAGTAATGTTGAAAGATGCCGGATTATCAGAGGACGCGCTGAGGTAGACAAAACCAGCCTGAGAATGTGACAGGTTTTCGGATTTTACGAATGACAGTTCCTGTTCCAGTCCTTGGGTGGATATGTCCGGGAAAGCCTCAGAGGAAGCTATCGATGATCCTGTATCTCTCGCATCCTGTACTCCATTAGGGCCATTCTTTCCAGCTGAAGTTTTCTGCTCCGTCGGTGCTGCTTGGGGAACTGACGTCTTGTCTGGATGCGTAGCTTGCACTGTCGAGATCTCCTCCTTGGCTTTGCTTTCTTTTGGTGGTCTCTTAGCCATATATTGCTCGGCTGTTGTACGAAGAATAGACGAGAGAGAGTCTCGACCGAGGATCTTGAGCATTGAGATATCAGCTCCAAACTTTTCTCGCAACCATTTCCGAATCTCAATGGCGTTGATAGAATCCAATCCGAGATGCGACATGGGCTCATCTGGATGAATTGAATGAAGCGAGACATGGATCATCGACTCGATTTTCTTGGACAATAGCTCGGTGATCGGTGGGATTGCCTCATCAATGGTGGCAGCCTCTTCCAGGTCCTGTTGCCACTGTGGCCCCGAGGCAGCCCCCTCCTGTGCATGCCCCGTTTGGGAGGTGTTGGAGACTCGAACCATGTGAGAGAAGAGGGGCAACTCGGTCCATCGTGGGCGAGGTTGTCCTTGGTCAAGGAACATCTCAAAACCCATGATGACCTCACCGGTTGAGGTGCTTGGGTGGCCTTGAGCAATTCCTTGAAGGAAAACATGGTGAAAGTCCGACTCGGATAGAGCGGTCGTGAGGTCGACGCGGAGCCATTCCTCAATATTTGAACCGGTATCTCGATCTGAACGGGCAACATATCCGACGTCCACAAGCATTCCGAAGTTGAGAATGGAGGCTGCGAGCCCGCGGCGTCTTCTCTTCTCAACCAAGCTCATCATGAAAGCGTTGCCCGCATGGTAGATAGGCTGTCCGGCGTTGCCACATACTGTAGCTAAAGAACCGAAGCTAATGAAGAAATCTAGATTGGTGTTCTTGAATTCATCATCCAGATGGACCGTACCATAGATCTTGGGTTTCATCTGCTTGGCGATACTCTCAGCGGACAGATTCGCGAAGATGCCCGGTTCCAGCACGAGAGCTGCGTTCGCTACACCACCTATTTCAGGCATTGTGCGGCGAAGCATGGCGACCGTCTCTCGAACCTGTGAACGGACGGTAACATCCAGCTTCACCACTCGAATATCGACACCGACATTCTGGAGATCATGAATCCAGTTTTGACCGCCTTTGGGATTTCGACTGGATAGGACGATGTGGCGAACACCACCGCGAACCAGGAATGATACCAGAGATTGACCGAGTTCACTCGCCATACCGACCAGGAAGTATGTTTTAACAGGTGACAACAGTGTGCTTGGCTCGAGACCGCGGAGTATCGCCGTTACTGGGCCGTCTCGCTTCCAATCTGTCACATAAGACAAGCGAACCGGATTAGGGGAAAGATGCTCGGATACCTGATGGATTTTGAGAACCTCAGGGTTTGACCCAAACACCACGCGCTCTTTATACGTCAAGTAAGACCCGATAGCCTCTTCGACGGACTTTTGTGATAGAGTGCTGACGTGGAATCTCTGTACGGAGAGGCCAGCAGGTAGCCACGGAGAAATTGCATCGGTATCCCTCTTAGAAAAACCGCAGACCGCAACTGTGTCGCGGGGAATCTTTCGCTGGAATATGCGTGCACTACTCTGAGGATGAATGTAAACGACATCGGCAACCCCATTTTGTCGGTCTTTGCTGGAAGTCGTGACAAACAGGACTTTGCGACCTGCATCCGCCGCCAACAAGCGTATGGCACCAGATAGCTGATCAGACACGCCGCACACGAGAGTTGTGCCGTGCGACGACATCTGAGCGACCATAACCGATGCAATCATGAAGTTTGCCACTTTTGTGAGAACTACTGCATCCATGTCCAGTATATCCAGAGAATTGGAGGAAAAGTCCTTGTGAATACGTGCAATGGATGACTCGGTAGCTGATAACGTCAACACAGCTGCCGAGTCGCTAGCCTGAGTGTTCACTATGCCGTAGCAGAGGAAGCAAGGGGATTCGTCTTCGTCATTGAGAGCTACCGACAGCTCAACTTGGACCGGCAAGTGGTCGTCGGGAAGGTCAAGAGCACGGCTGCAAGCAATAATCGAATCTCCAGAAACGACGTCTCTGGAGATCTCGATTGGCTCTGTAGGCTCAACGAGTTTGGGGAAGCGACGACGTTTTGCGTTATAGACCTCGTTGGATATGTCATCGGCCAGAACCCGCGGCACCAGCATTTGGGAATTCTTGATGACGACCTCTGGCTCCCCATACCAAAGGAGCCCATCGATAGCGCCAGGAGAGGACGAATATACAAGACGGAGGAACTGAGTCAACACTGTTTGTATGTTCCACGGTTCTTCCCCGTCGAAGTCTAGATAGTGAACCGTTGTATCGAGGATTTCACGTCGCACCCCGCGTCCGATGCCAACCATGATATTGGAATATGGGTCCTCGACAAGCCGGTTCGATGTGACCCACAAGACATTCCGAGAGACTGCCAATACTCGGTTGAGGTTCTCTAGCTCTTTTGGTGAGGGTGGAGACGAGAAGAGTGCCTTGTCGAGGTCGCCAAAGTTAATGACAGAAGCTCCTGGTGGGATTCGAGACGAATCGACCTGACTCCAACGGCTATATGTCTGTATCTCTGTGGCCCATCCGCGAAGCATTCTCTCTGATTGTCGGATGAGTTGAGAGACTTTGCTCGTTTCACCACCAATGAGGACAACAGCAGTTGGTGTGATCACATCAATGGACATGAGCGGGTCCCGCAGGACGCTCAACCGATCATCCGTAGCTTGGGAAGCGAAAACGGAGAATCCGTGAATATTGACATGGTCGATGTCGTGGAGGGTATAGTCAATGCCCGAAAATCCATGTCGTTCGAGAATCTTATCCCATTCGCCGGTGGTGATGACTGGGCTTGCTGCTGCTCTGTCACTGACACCAGTCCACCATGACTGCAAGCCTCCCACCATGGCAGTTGGCCTAAGTGACGATCCCGTGAGTTCTATCGTAATCAAGAAACCTGCTGGACGCAGTAACCTTCGCAAGTTCTGCACAGTGCTTGATAGGTCCCGGCTCCCTCGTAGAACATCGGTCACGATGATAACATCATATGATGCTGCCTTCAATCCTTGCGAAGTAATATCAGTCTGGACATCAAAGACCTTGAAATTCAGATTTTCCGAATTGGCTGGGATGATGCTGTTCTTCAGGCGCTCAACAACATTCTCCGAAGCAGCGGTGCAGGTATACTGTCCGTAAGCGTCACCAACAGCATCAAGAATGGCAGAAGTGGTGTTCCTGACGCCAGCACTGATCTCGAGAATATTGGTTCTCGGGAACTTGTGACTGATTTGAAGTACGAGCTGAGCGACGTAGTCATCGCATGCAGTGGCGCTGCTACTGTCGTTGTAAAAGGAATGAGGCAGGCTTCCGATGGCATATTCGTGAGAGCCCGTTCCGTTCAGCAGGGAGCGATTGTACTCTCCACTGGACGCCAACATGGCCATATCGACGTCGTCCGGATACAGGTCAAGCAAGTTTTGGATGATGTCGGGTGTATCATCCAGCCACTCCTTGATCAACACAGGATGGTCAGTTTCGCGGAGCTGTGCAACAGACGCATCTATAAATCGTTTCAGGTCCTCATGATGAGGTTCCAGAACGCTCGGGTCTCTTGCTTCGATCAATCGCCCAAGTGACTGAAGTTGAAAAAGTGCGACACGTTCGTATTCCTCGGGGCTATACTTGGACGACTTGCCACAGACCGTTGTAGCTGGTGATACAGCAAGGCCATATGCGGTTTCAGGGCCCCAAATCGTCTTCGCGAATACGTTGCGGTCTTCAGATGGCTGTGGCTCAGAGATTGCCTTGAATCTGATGCCTTCCAGCTGGACCCCTCCAAAATCATCGTGAGCTCCCGACTCAACTGGGCGCACGTTAATATCGGCTTCTGTGAGCTTGCCTAGCTCGGGGGTTGTCATGTAGGCTTCGATCTCAATACCGGTGGATCCATCGAGAGACTGAAAGTTCAGGTTGGGGTGAATAAGGACTCGTCTAACCCCCACAGGGAGGTAGGAACTCGCCATGGATCTCTCAGCGGTAGAGACAAATGTTGCCAGCCCTGCTTGGAGGGCAACGTCGAGGATGGCAGGATGCAAAGTACAGGAGACGTTGAGGTCTTCTTTTGGCCACGAGGCAACTGCTTTGGCATGGCCCCAGCACCTGTTTAAAGAGGAAAGGGCACGGAAAGGACCATCATACCCAAAGCCTATCTCCGACGCCGCATGGTAGAACCGATCGACATTGAACGGAGTAAGCTCCACCTCAGAGATGATGGTAGGTACAATGTCTTCTGGCTTTTGTTCGCCCAGGTGAATCAGCAAACGGCCGTGGCAAGTTTTGTCAGCCTCACGACCATCGGCGTAGTTATAGCAAGTAAACTCTGCTTCCAAGACGGAGCCTTCCTCGACCTTCTGGGGTGGGACGCGGCTGCGGATTGTGAACATAACCTCGGTCCCATCTCCCTCGCCAATGACCAAAGCAGTGGGGATCGCCATGTCGTGAATTTCGATGAGTCTGAGTGGGCGGCCTGCGACAAAAGCCTTTGCGGCGTCCACTGCCAGACTGATGTAACCGGTCGCTGGGAATAAAACCTGGCCCTGAAAGACGTGTCCTTTGACCCAGGGCATCTCATTGAGATTGAAGAAGTTGCGCCAAACATGCTCATACTGAGCATCATTCCAGAGGCGACCAAGGAGATCATGAGGAGGTTGTTTGCCAAGCCGGTAGTTCTGGCCCATTCGTGATTCGCGCCAATGGACCTGTGTATGATCCCAGACGTATGAGGGTAAGTTTTTGAGCACCTGTGTTTGTGCTTCAAGTTCAAAGCTATTGCGCCAGCCCTCAAAATTGATCGCGGAGGGGGCGCTGATCCACAGGTCTTCGATCATGCCCGCAAAGGTCTCAATAGCATCATTTCCTCGGCTTAAGCAGCCGATATATTGAGGGGAGTAATCAATTGCTTGCTTGAGTGTCTGAGTGACAGGACCCTTGAGTGCAGGATGGGGGCCAATCTCCATTGCGAAGGTGAACTTTGAGGGAGCGACCTGAACAGCAATGCTAACAGCCTGGGAAAACAAAACTGGTTGCACCATATTGTCCAGCCAGTATTGAGACTCCAGTCCAGAATCAAATGGTCTGTCGAGAAGATTGGTGTTGGCCCTGACGCTGGAGTACCATTGGCACTCTTGGCCGGTAGGAGGCGTTCGGATGCGAACGTTGAGTTTCTTGAGGTGACTCAAGTAAGCATCAGCGCAGGCGAGCATGTGATGTGAATGATATGCAACGTCAACTTGAAGTGACCGAGCCTGTACGTTGATTTCGGCCAGGTGTTCCTTCATCTTTGCGAGTGCGTCTCTGTCCCCAGATAGCGTTACACTGGAAGGAGAGTTGCTGGCTGCTACTGTGATACGACCCTTAAATTGTGGTTCAGAACAGAGCTTAGATACGGCATCAAACGACATAGCTGCCGCCATCATGCTTCCAGGCTCTCGAGCTGCTCCACGGGCAAGGTGAGCAACGTAGCCTCTGTAATAAGAGATGCCCATTGCGTCTCTCCTGGTCAACAGACCCGCTGCGTATGCTGCGCCAATTTCTCCAGAGGAATGGCCAACAACGGTAGAGAACGTAATCCCACAAGCTCGCAAAAGATCAACGAGACCAATCTGGATTGCCGTGCATAGTGGTTGTGAGAATTGAGCTTCTGAAACACGTGATTTTGTGGAATTGGCGAGGAGCTCTTCGCTGAGTGACCACGAAGGTGGTTCGGGTATACTCCTAAGAGCTTCTTCGCACTCCCTAATGGAGCTCCTGAATAGTTTGCAGTGCTCTAGTAATGCGCAACCCATTTGTGCTGTTTGTGCTCCCTACGTGAACTACAGTTAGCGCCTACATCTATCACAGAAGGACAGCCACGCATTATCAACGATGAGAGGGATCTTCTTTTTCGTAGTTATCCCCGGAGATGACTGTTCAGAGGGTCTAGGTTGCATGAATTGGGGGGTGAATGAACAACGTACCTGACCGGTAAAGATACCCAAAATCTGAACAGACTTGGAAGTGAGCCCAGCTGGCCTGGTTATCGAAGTACCCATAGTGTTGATCTTGTCCTCGAGCTTTTGAACAAGGTCGTTCAGTTCTGAAGCCGTTGGAATGGTGACCCGGTACGGAAATACTGTCCTCTTAGAATGTAAGGTGCTGCTAAGAGCGTCAAGGTCCACGGAAGGATTCTCCCGCAGATAGTTCAACAACAGCTTGAGCCAGCTGACCAATGAGTCCGAACTTCTGGCTGAGAACACGAACGGCCCAATGTATCTCTCTTCTGTCAGAGATTGATGCATGTCGTCACTCGCAGCAACTTCTGAGAAAGATGAAGCAGAAGTCGAAGACATCGTGCCCATTTGAGCTTGAGAAGGGTCGTAATTTTCCAAAATGACGTGTGCGTTTGTTCCGCCGAACCCAAAGCTGTTGACACTGGCTCGGCGAGGTCCGACATTCGTCTCTGGCCAAGGCATGAGGGTGGTAGGTACCTCCAAGTTCCTGTAAAAAGGCTCAACTTTTGGATTGAGATTATTGAAGTGCATGTTGGGCGGGATTGCTTCATTCTGGATAGCGAGTGAGGCTTTGAGAATTCCAGCCAGTCCAGCACAGCCCTCAAGATGGCCAATCACCGTCTTGATAGAGCCGCAGTACAACACTTCGTCATTACTCTGCGTACCATCCAGCGGGAAGAACACGTCTCGAATCGCTTGGGACTCAACGGGGTCTCCGGCCTGGGTACCGGTACCGTGGCACTCGAAATACTGGCATCGATCTTTGAGAGGATCCAAGCCCGCATTCAGGTAGGTTTGCTTGATCAAGGCAGCTTGTGCGATAGGAGATGGCATTGTGATTCCATTGGTCGCTCCATCGGAATTCACCAAGCTTCCTCGAATGACACACTCGATGTGATCACCATCGCGAATCGCTTGGGACAGCGTCTTCAACACCACAGCGGCACAACCCTCTCCGCGAGCGTAACCACTACCATCCTTATCCCACATACGGCAGCGGGAATCCGGAGAGAGCAAATGCATCGATGATTCTCCGATGTAGTAGAACGAGTCCATAAGTAAGTTGCTTCCAGCCACGACGGCCTGGGTGGCTTCCCCATTCTGGAGACCTTGAGCGGCAAGATGAAGGGCGACCAGTGAACTCGAACAAGCTGTATCGAGAGTCAGAGAAGCTCCCCGGAGGTTGAAAGCGTAAGAAACGCGGTTGGATAGGATGGCTCGAGATACACCGGTGGCAGAATGGCTCCCAAGCGTGTCAGGATCTCGGCCCTGAATAATGATGTAATCGTCTGTCATCGTGCCAACGTGAACTGAAGTGTCCGAACCAGATACGTCGTCAAGAGACCACCCTGCTGACTCGAATGCCTCGTAGACAGTCTCTAACAGGAGCCTCTGCTGAGGGTCCATGTCAGCTGCCTCCTTTGGATTGATGCGAAAGAAGGCAGCATCGAAATGGCGAACGTCTTCTTCAAGCAGGTATGACTTGTGTTCAACGTTCATACGACCATGCATGTCGCCATTCTCGTTGTAGAAGTTGGCCGTGTTCAGCCTTTCGGGGGGAAATTCTTTCAAGACGTCCCTCGGGGCCTTCAACAGATCCCAAAGTTTGGACGTAGAACTCGCTGCACCAGGAAACCGGCAAGCTGTACCCACAATAGCTACTGGCTCATACATGTTGTACAGAACTGGGAGTCTAGTGGAAAAGAGCAGAGTGCTTGGAATTGGTGACCGGCACTATATAAAACATAAATGATGGTCAGTAGTCGAAATCGGCGGCTCAGTTGCATGTGGTCACTGCGATGTGATAGCTTCTCTATTGTCACACTCTTGCACATCTGTCTTGATCAAAATTATCGGTCATGTTACGGAGAAATACAAGCCGTTGCATAATCTACATAGAGTTAGCAATTGTGCTCGGTCACCGATGTCTGATGCCGTGTTCAGCCCACGTAATCGCGCCTTATGCAGACGCATAGTTAAGGCTCAGTCAGTGACAAACGCCTTCCTTTTTGGGCTGTACAGCTTACAGCAAGCATCCTGATCTGGCTATACCCATGACACAAAGTAAGCGAAGGCTCAATCCACATCTTCCTATTCAATAATTATTGAAGCGGTGAAACAAGCCTAGAGATCTTATCGTTAATTAGGGTCAGCAATATGCAAAACACAGTAATACGTAGCGGTGTCATCGCAGTGGTAGTTCATGATTGAGCCAGAGCGTCACGGAGAAATACAAGCCGTTGCATGATCCATGTGGAGTCAGCAATTTTGCAATCCATGATCCAAATGTAGTGCGAATAACGTATCCATTGTGGTGATCATCCACAGTTTCCATAATGCTTCATTTCTCGTGATCGAACTAATTGCCCCTGGAATGAGACAGACGATACAAGAGGTCCAATCTATCGAGGCACCTTTTGACTGCTTTTGAAAGTCCCTCAACGTGTTGAAATGAGAACATCTCGAAATGTGTTCCTGGCACGCCCTCAACGTCTGTGAATAGACTCGTGTCATATGCGTCCCACCCCAGGGTGGGGTCGCTCCGGTGAATATCTGCAGGATGCACGCCATCGATGCCTGTCGCCGGCATGGCGTCAAGGGCTCTCAGCAACGAGAACCGTGGCCGGACCTCAGTTCCGGCCCAGACGGGCGGCGTCCACTTCTGGATTACCCGCAACGCCTCTTTCATGGCCTGCAGGGTGAGAAGCTCATTCTTGGACTTTTCTCCGGCTGCCATGTCGTCCAAGGCGCCCAATCGAACCATGGACGGTGGATTGACGGGATAAATACTGTCCATCATCAAGGCGCCGATGATCCTGACGCCGCGATCCCCAGTCAGGATCTTGGCAACCTCGAGAGCCAAAAGGCCACCCAGGCTCCACCCTCCAATCAGGATGTTCGCCCTCCCACCGGAATCGCGTTCTGCAGGGAAGTCAGGGTTGGCAGCGGCTAGTCTGATGATACCCGCATAGAGCCGCGCCATGCCACAGATGCCACCTTCGAATCCCTCGCCAGTGTGAAAATAAGGGTTGGAGATGCCGTAGACAGGCCGATCCAGGGGATCTAAGCAGTGATAGGCGAAGGTGGTACCGCCGCCATCGTGGATGAGGAAGACGGGGGTGGTGTAATGGTCTCCGGCGTGGGCCTGGATGACTTCGGGGTTTTGGTCCATAGTATGTGGGTTGTTCAAAAACTGATGTGTCAAGCAACAGTAGGGCCTAGAAATATAGCACTCAGATGTAGTCTCAACATGACGAATACGGTAAATAGGCTAACACGGTGGACCCCGGCGCCGTAAGCGCGTTCTTAAGGCTGACAGGGTCATCAGGCAACCTACCAGTCTAGGGTTGTGCAAGAGGTGTGTGTGGTGGAATCCTACGGCAGAGCCGCACCAGGGACCGGGCTGGGCCGGGCTGGGCCGAGCTGACTCTGTGCCGCCGGCCGACAGTGGGACGGTTAATCTTACGCTGCAGAATTTCTGGCTCCTGCAGTCATCTGAACACGAAGCCAAGTCTGCAATGCCAAATGAAAGAAGTAACGCCGCTGACCTGCAGCCTGCTAGTCCTGATTGGGTTGCTGTTGACTAACAAAACAACACGTGACCGTGCTTTTGAACACGTCATCACCCCTTCCTTCGCCCTACCACTGACAAATTCTTCATGCTTACCTTTCGCGCCCCTTCAACACTCCGAATCTGAACATCATTCTTTCTGTCAAGATGGCCGGATACAACGCCTCACCCGTATCCTCCGACGAGCTCGAGCATGCGCTACATCCATTTTACCCCGTAGGGGCCATCATCAAAGGTTGATCAATCAATTAATTGACCATCAATCAAGGAGCATGCTAACACGAGTCTGCAGACTACGCTGCGAATACACTGAGCTCGCCCGTCATCTTGGTGTACTTCTTCGCGCTGGTCGTTGCCTTCCTGCTGCCTGCGGCATATGCCTTGACGCGCGCACGCAGCGGCCAGGGGCTACCGCGCCAGGAGTTTGCTGTAGCCATGTGGTTCGCTCTTTGTGGCTACATCCACCTCGCTGTCGAGGTAAGTCCAAGCTGAGATGTCCTTCAACCTTTCTCGCGCCTAACACCGGGTACCTCTGCAGGGCTACTTCGTGTTCAACCACGCAACTCTGGCCGCAGACCGTGGTCTTTTCGGCCAGATGTGGAAGGAGTACGCGCTATCGGACTCGCGCTACCTGACCTCGGACACCTTCACCGTCTGCATGGAGACGGTTACGACCGTTCTCTGGGGGCCCTTGTCACTATTGGCGGCTTACTTCATCGCTATTGACCATCCTGCTCGCCACCCACTGCAATCTATCATCAGTTTCGGGCAGATATATGGAGACATTCTGTATCTATCGACCGTGTTCTTTGATGAAGCCTATCGGGAGACGGCGTACTCACGACCGGAGCCGTTCTATTACTACGGCTACTTCATCTTCTTGAACGCTATCTGGCTCGTCATTCCAGGCCTGCTGCTGCTTCAGAGTACTGTAGCGACGATTAACGCCTTTGCGTTTGCGAAAGCGAAGGGGGGAGTGAAGGGCAAGAAGACAAACTAGGTGGGGTGATAAGTAGCGTTGCATTATTGGAAGCGGAGGAGCAGTGGCTGCAGGCGTGTAGCGTTGGGTCGGCGCAGTTGCGAGCGCATGCGATGGTTGTCCGCTTCCTCAGCGCATCCTTCGCATTCTCCTTATCGTTGTCATCGCGTTTATAGTCTAGCGCGCACCAACGTTGCGAAAGGTATACGCCACTGCTCGGTTACTGAGAAAGCCTTGGTCGAAGGCTGTTGGTGGTGGTGGTGGTGGTGCATATCCTCGAGATGTCAGGCTTCACCTTCGCAAGATCTAAAATCTTAGCTATCCATATTAGGCTTAGTTACCTCAGCGGCCCCACTTCGTGTCGACGCCATCATGAACGGTTCCCGCACGCCCACGCCTTTCCCGTACTTCGTAAGCTTACGAACATAACGTCAACATGCGAGCCCTCACGAATACGTCCCCGGTCATTTGCGCTCATATACCCCTGCATCCGAAAATTCTCGGTGCGTGACTGATCTGTCAAAGATTTGATTGTCGAAAGCCCTCGTCCATACTATCGCACGTTGATGGAGGTCACTATGCGTCGCGTACAGAGGTGTTCGTCTGGCCTGATATAATTGAGCAGATACACGGATGCTTTTGAAACCAGTACCTGCTGCCCGAAGTCACCTCACCTCCCCCTTCGCGATGCTCTCCCTTGTTGCCCTCCTCTCTGCCCTCGTCCTGCCCCTGTTCGCAGCATCATCCAACCCAAACACGACCCTCATATACCAGTTCCCCAACGGCACATGGATTGAAAACATCGCCGTCCGCCACAACAACGCACTCCTTCTGACCCTACTCACGACGCCGGATCTCTATAACCTGGACCCCACCTCCTCCAAGCCCTCCCCAACCCTCCTCTACACATTCCCCAACGCCACAGCCCTCTTTGGTATCGCCGAATACGCCCCAGATGTCTTCGGCATCGCTGCCGGAACCTACTCGTTTTCAGCTGGCGTCACTCCCCATTCATTCAGCATATGGAGCGTCGACTTTTCGCGCAGCGCGCTAGACAGCCAAGGAAAACCGACCGTCTCACTCCTCGCGCCGATACCCCAAGCCTCCTTCATCAACGGTATGTCCACACTGGCCACTGACCCTAGCGTACTTCTCCTTGGCGACATCGCTGGTGGCCAAATCTTCGCCTTTGACACGCGCACGCGTGAAACACGCCTCGTTGTGCCTTCTTCCAACCCCCTTGTCGCAGCCACGCCTAGTTCATTTGGCACGGTAGGTGTAAACGGTCTGCGCACGAGATATCATAACCTCTACGTCGTGAATACGGGCTCAGGCGTGCTGGGCAAGTTAGCCATCAACACGGACGGTACGCCGCAGGCAGGCGCACAAGTTGATGTCCTGGCTCGTGCGGCAGATGGGACGAATTGGGATGACTTTGCGATTGGTGGCCAGGGAACCGTGTTTGCAGTCACGAGTGGTGGGAATACGGTTGTGAGGATTGTGGAGGGCAGGGAGCAGGAGATTATTGCGGGCAGGAAGTACTCGATGGAAATCGATCAGCCGACGGCGGTAGCATTGTCGAGAGGGGATATTGAGGGGAGAAGTTGTTTGTCGTAACTGGGGGAGGGGCCTTGGCGCCTGGGAATGAGGTTGTTGGGGGACAGGTACTTGTCGTGGATCTGTAAGGTGCTGGAACGTGCTGGGTAAGACATGGAGTATTGAGAAAACTAGCGTCTTCATCACTCTCTTATCTAGGAATGAATATTTCTTAGTCTCTGCGCTTTCCGCGAAGATACATTACAGCTTGGAGCCGCGCCATAGACTGACACGTAGGAGCGACGCATCTTCTACTGGCACTTCACAGTGTTAAGAGTGGTGATGATGAGTTAACTATGGCGAACTTTCTTAAGAGACTACGAGCAACATATGTGGAATTCATAGCGATCGTTAACAGAGAAAATACGTAGCTTGCCAGGCTAGGCCTGAGTGTCTCGGGGAATGTCATTCTTGGAGCTGGCCTGACAGAAAGCTGGATGATTTTTACGACCCAGCCGCGCGGAGGAGAATCTAAAGCTCTGCAATACTGTACGAATTCCGTTTTGTATAAGTTTATCATATCGTAAGCTCTTCGCACACTTCTTCTAAAGTTCTAAAGCCGAGACAAAACAAAGTGCCCGTATAACGCTTCCTTCGAAGTAATCTTGGCTGCTTTAAACAGGTATCATAAAGCAATTTCGAATAGCTTGTTAGATTGTTAACAAGCGCAAAAGTGATAGGAATGTTTTGTTAGCCTGAGTATCAGCCATCCTCAGGACATACATGGCTCGACTAGCTGTTTAGCGATAACGTGCCCGTGCGCGCAACGCCCGGATTCACGTAACGCCCCGCGAACACTATCTCAGCGATATCGAATTTGAAGCCGTACAACGCCACACAATAGCTCAATATTTATAAAAACGTAGTAGTGCAGTAACTATATGCTTGCGATCAACTTGTACTATCTAAATTTTTGTGGGAGGTTGACGCTGCGGCCACGTAATGTGACTTTGGGTGGAGTAGCAGATGGCTCATCTCCAGCTTGAACACCAGCGTGAGCAGCGCCAACGCGTTTTTGACGCTTGTTACTTAATGAGGTTACTTGTGAGACTTTACGCTTGCGTTGTTGAGCTTGTTGGATACATTTTTTCTGGTGTTGAGCTTCAACTTTGCGCGCGCGTTCAGCTGCTTTTTCAGCTCGCTCAAGCTCCCTCATCTCCTTGAGCCTCTGCCTCTCTACACGCCTCTCCTCGAGCTCGACTTGACGCTGCAGTTGAGCATCCTCACGCTGCTTCTTAGCCCGTGCTTTTTGGAGTTTCTCCTCCGTCTCATCTCGCTCCCGTACTGCTTCTCTAGCTCGAGCCTCACGCAACTTGCGAGGAGACCAGTGGACAGCGCCACCGTGATACTCTTGGCGCTGTTGAAGGTCAAGAGCTTTACCCTTCTTTTTGTGCTTCTTTTTGTGTTGAAGAGCCTCTCTTAAACCCTCTACTTCATGCTTTAAAAGCTCATTTTGAACAGAGAGATGGTGAACGCTTGAGCGCAGCTTTCTTGCCTCATACTGATGGCTATCAGTGACAGCAGCTCGAACTAATCGATCCATATTTCTCCAATCATGATCAGAGAGCCCTGATGATAAGCTTCTCTCAGCTTCTGGCGTGCTGGCAAATCTACGAAGGATAACGTTGGCATCTATCGGCCAGATCCCAGTAGCTTCGAAGGCCTTCAATATGAGGCTTTCTGTGAAGGAGGATATCCAGGCGCTCCAAAAGAGTAGGAAGAAGTCTCCTTTCTTGATTGGGATGAGGCCTTGAGCCTTGTGGAGATGGTTGGTGAGCTCGTTAGAGTAGGCTTGAGAGAGTGGCTTGAACAGCACTACATCAAGCGGCTGGAGCGTGTGAGTTGAATGGGGGGGAAGGATCATAAGGAGAATCCTGTGGCGATCACAGTAGTCGATAAACTCCATCGTGACATGAGATCCATGGCCATCAAGGATGAGCAATCGCCATCTCCCTGATCGCTGCTTTGTATAGCGATCAAACACCTGCTCCAGCCAAGCTAGGCCTACGTCATTGTTTGACCAGCCTGTTGGAGATGATGAGACAAAGACCTCATGTTCTCCTGCCTTGATATCCTCCACCCAACTTGATCGTATGGCTCCTTTTGCAGCTGCGTAGATAAGGCTTGGAGGCAGCGCGCTCCCATCGGCGCAGCAGCAGGCCAGGAGTGTCAGGAACTCGCGTGATCGATCCTGGAGAGATGCTCGAACCTCCTTCTTCTCCCATTGACGCCTGCTAAATATCCTCTTGCTTCTGCCTATCAAGCCAATCAAGAAGCCCTTCTCATCCATATTGTATATATCTCGAGCCTCAAGGTGGTATTGGGTGATCTTTCGATGCAGTAGCTCAAAGTAGAGACGGTATTTTGACTCAGAATCAGCCAGGTGGCGCGTACGATCCATGGCGCTGGTCCACTTTGAGATAAGATGGATCTCGTGTCGGTTGATGAAGCGAGTAACCCAGCTCTCGCTGAGCTGCTGATGGGCTACTTCTGATGAGAAATTCCTGATCATCTCCCTCGTAGGAGGTAGCCCTTGCTTAGTGAGCTTATTGATATATTGTACAAGCTCTAGCTCTTGTTGTGGGCTGAGTTTAAGCTGATGAGATGCCTGGGTCTCACGCGGGGCCTGAAGGCCTTGGTGTCTTCGACTGAGCGTTGATCGATCGATATTATATTTAGCTGCAAGTTTTGTATACGAGAGTCGATCTCCTAGCTCGTGCGATTCTAATTCTTCAATCGCTACTTGAATCGGGTCCATATTGATAGAGTTGTATCGCGTTGAAGTTCGGTATTGATTACACGTTTTGGTGTTGGGCGGGGCGTTGCGCGAATCCGGGCGTTGCGCGCACGGGCACGTTAAGCCTTTTTTAGGTTTGATTTGGCGGAAGGCTGGACACTTTTAATGAACGAAATGCTGTGCCTAAGAAGTGGCGCATTCTGCGACGAGCTTGTTCGACCAAGCGGCATCTTATTGTTATTCGTCTAAGCTAGCCCACCCGGTTTCGAGTCACCCGGGGTTTCAACTCACCCTATCGCCACTCAGCACCCTCTCCAAAACACGACTTTTCTCGCCACCCACGCTGCGCAAATGGACACCCGTGAAGAAACTATTCAAGCAGCTATCCGCGATCTTAATGCTGGTGTTTTCCAGAGTCAGAGAGCTGCTGCAAAGGCCTACAACCTCCCTCAAGCTACGTTCTCGGCCCGTGTACGAGGCGCGCGGAACAGCCAAACCAGCCACGTATACCAACAAAGATTGACTCCAGAGCAGGAGGACTTTCTCGTACAATGGATACTTGAAGAAGACGCACGAGCTTTTCCTCCCTCCCACGCACGCGCACGAGAAATGGCGAATCGAATCCTCCGGATGAATGGAGACCACAGACCCGTAAGCAAGCATTGGATGGCTGCCTTCCTTAAGCGTAACCCACGCGTCGCATCTGTTGTAGGTCGAAAGATTGAGGCTGCTCGAGCTGAGGGAGCAACGCCAGTACAGATACGCGCGTTCCTTGAGCTCTTTGAGAGGACTCGTACGAGGCTAGGCATAAGAGCCAGTGTTGCTAATAATATAAACAATACGTATATTGGCAATATGACACCCTAACAATATTATTGTATTGTGGGCAGGTAAGTATTGTATTACCCAATATAGAGCTGATTGATATTGTACCGTATTGCCAAGAACCCAATATACTGTCAGTGTTACAATACATCCCATATATCCCTCATCCTTCTACTGCGACGGCTACATTATCGTCACCTTCAAATTCTCGTAACCCAAACCATGACTTTAGGCACTCTAATGCTTCAATTACATCACTCCCAAGTCGATTTCGACGATCTGTAATGGTTATTTTTGCCCCGGAAAAGAGTCGTTCAGGTTCGGGAGACATTGCAGGAATTGATAGTATGTCCACCAGTGTTGCCAAAAAGCAAGTTGACTTGCTTGCTTGTTCAAACTTGCTTGGTTCATACCAAGCAAGCAAGTCAAGTCAGAGCTGCACAGCGAACCAAGCAAGTCAAGTTAGCGTGCCTTACTTGCTTGACTTGCTTGGTTTACTTGGTTAAATTAACTATAATCGACTGTATAGCAGATCTCGCGATGCTTTTTTAGCCTTGCAGTTCTTTTTAGTGCTGCAACTACCTCGGCTATTTCCTAAACAGGCTACAATAGGCTACACAGCTGCTAAAACAGCTTAGCGCCCTACTCCTATCCTAACCTTAGCCTTGTTTTGAAGCCTGTCGCGATTTCCATTTTCCTGTATCGACGCTTCTTTCTGGTGTTTTCGACTGCCCTAATATGGCCAAACGCCGTGTACTACATACCTCTTCGAGTAGCAAACGTTTGAGAGTAGCTGCTGCTACCGACGACGTCATCTCAACTCCTGCGGCCTCATCTCAGCCAGCATCTCAGCCAGCATCTCAGCGTCGATCGCCTCGTAAAGCCCTCGCTGCCGTAAGCTAGGCCACTGTCTCGTCGCTAGTCCCTACATTCGAGTCGCAGTTTTTAGAATCGCATGTAGAGGATGATATCGTTGCGCCTACTAAGGGTAGCAGGGCTGTTACGGTGGCTACAACTGAGGCTGGAGACAAAGATAATAGCTAAGATGAGATAAACAGCGCTGCTGATAGCTTTGACGGCATTGACTGGGCTCGTTTACCTAGCTACATAAAGCCACTGGCGGGCTCTAAGCGTCCTAAAAGCTGGATTTTTCGGTATAGCTACCGCGTTGTTAAGCGCTAGGCTACTAATCGGATCTGGTTTGTGTGCAAGTACTGCCACATCCACAAAACTATCGACGCTGGCGGTAGTGGTTTGTTTAATATTACTCAGGCCACTACCTTAGCAGCTACCCATCTCAGCCAGCCAAAACGTAGGCACAACCTTACAAAAGATGGCCTAAAGTCGACGCTAAGAGGACAGGGGCAGCTATCATTGCGGCAAGCTTTTGACGCTGGATTAGAGATGCCTCAGCCTACCGCTAACGCACTCGGAAACTTCGACGTACAAGGCTTTCGAG